GTACTGGGGACTGATCTCATGATCTTCACACTGAGCTACATCACCAGTTTGTTTTTGTTTTTATTTTTGTTCATTTGAGACAGTCTCACTAAATTGTTAGGTTGCCCAAACTAGGCTTAAACTTGTGATCCTCTTGTCTCAGCTTCCCACAATTCTGATTACATGTCTACACCATCATGTCAGTTTCCCAAATAATGAATTTTGTAAGGAATCAAAGTCTTAAACCCCCCGGGACCCAGGTGCCTACAATTCTGACTACTTGGGAAGGCAGAGACAATAGGATTGCTTGAGCTTAGACATTTGTGGCCAACATGGGCAGCATAGCAAGTCCCTACCTCTAAAAACAACAGCAACAAAATATGAAAAATCAAGGATATAATCATTGTTTCAAAAATTGTAAGTTGAATAATAGCTTTTTTATGTCTGTGGTAAAATACACATCCAGTGCCAAGATCACAGTTAGCGCCGCTGAATTACTACCCAGCCACACCGAGCACTGCCACAGGGCTGGGTACGCACTGCTGCCCGCCTCCAGCACTGTTCACCCTTCCAGAAGAAACTCTGTCCTCAGTAAGCGGTAACTGCCCATTCCCCTCACAGCCTCTGTCGCCTCTGGTCTGGGTCTGGCTTTGTGAATTTGCCTATTCTAGTGTGATCTGAGTATTTCTGTCCCTAAAACTTCACAATTTGAAATCGCAGCCCCAAGGCAATGGTGGTATGAGACTGGGTGGGGTGGCCCTTCCGAAGGGGATTTGGAGGCACTGTCCATGGTGCACCCTCACGGGTGTCACAGCTGCCAGCAACCTGATCTTGGATTCTCTGACTTCCAGAACCGTGTGAAATAAATGCTGATAAGCTGCCCAGTTTCTGGTATTTGTGTTACAGCATCCCAGATACCCTCAGCCACCTCTGTACCGCACATAAATTGAAGCTTACAGCACTTGTTCTTTTTTTTTTTTTTTTGTCTTTTTCCTTTTTATCGGTACCAGGGATCGAACTCATGACTGCCTGCTTGCAAGGCAGGCGCTTATGCTGCTGAGCTAAATCCCCAGCCCCCATCATCGTTCTTTTGTGACTGACATGATTTGCATAGCATAATGTCTTCAGGATAGTGTAGTCTACAGCATCCTCCTAAGCAGCTGACACTGTAGACACATGTTAGTATATGAGGCTAATTTTTTTATTTTTGGTATGGGGACTGAACCCAGGGCCACCCTTTTGCTAAGCAATTGTTACTGCTTTTCAGGGTTTCTTGAGTCAGTCTCACTAGGTACTTAAAACTGATCTTAAGGTCACTATGTAGTCTAGACTGGCCTTGAACTCATAGCAGTCCTCCTGCCTCAGCCTCCTGACTGCTGGAATTACAGGCATGTGCCATCACACCCAGCATGAAATTTTAAATTACTTATTGTACTTTTCAGCTCTTGGAATCTGGTTTCTTTATAAAATGTCCTTTTTATTCTCATGTCTTTCATACATTGTTCTCCTTATTTCACTTATTTTTGGTTTCCTTCAGTTCATTAAGCCTACTCAGAGAATTTGATTTAACATCTTTGATGGAGTGTTCCAGTCGCTGGGCTTCCTCAGAGCTGGTCTCTGACAGATTCTCTTCGTACTTCCCTGGTCTTTGAGTACACTGCCATTTTCGTTGCCATCTGGGCATTCTGCATGTCATGGTGTGCTATGTGGAGCTCAGTCTCTTATTCCTCAGGGCTTGCTGGGCTTGCTCATCAGGCGCCTCTCCCCATGCCCTTAGGTGGGGGTGTGTTTCCTTTGGCTGCAGCCATTGAAGGTTTTCTTTATCATCTTTTTGGCCAGCCAGTTATCTGGTAAAGATTTCCTTGCTTGTCTGAAGAACAGATGTCCTTCCTGAAGCCAAGGCCAGTGTCTGCGCTGGTCTTTCCCCAGTCAACCGCACTTGCAGCCTGGATTTCTGGAGAACACAATCCTCCACTCACCCCAGAAACACTGGCCCCGAGGTCCCCACTCACAACTGGGATCAAGGGAGGGAGAATGCGGGTGAGCGGGCGGGTTGCATTTCCTACCCCAGCTTTGGGCCTCTCGCTCCATCAGGCACTGCTCCTGGCTGTTACAAGGCTCCAATCAGGATCTGGACTTTCAAAATAGCTGGTCCTGGTCACTGTCCCCAGTCTCCTATGTCTTCTCAGTGGAGGGACTAGCCCAGGAGTGGCCTTACTCCATCTTTCGTGTGGTTTCTGTTGACATACATTGTTTAGGCCCTCATTCACATTGGTGGTACCTGATGGAAGTCAAGGCTTCTGCATGCGAGACGATTAACGCCCAGGGAACTTCTCTTATGCCCATTAGGGTTGTTTGCTTTGGTTTTTGCAGTGCTGGGGGTCTAACCCAGAGTTTCACACATGCTTTTGTCAGAGTCCAGGTATCTCTCGCTGCCCACCCTGCTTTTTCCCTAGAGACTGAATCTAGTGCCTTCACACTGAGCTATATACATACGCAGCCCTTTTTATTTTGAGACAGGATTTTGTCTCCAAGTTGTGATCCTCTTGCCTTAGCCTCCCCCAGTGATTACAGGTATGTGCTACCACTCTGGGCTTCAGCAGAGATTATTTCTTTTAAGAGAATTCCTAGGTTACAAATATATATTCTTGGGTGGTTTTTTGTTTCTTTAGTTCTGGGGCCTTTTTTTGGTTTATTTTGTGGTGCTGTGGTTTGAACCCAGAGCCTCATGCATGCTAAAAGCACCAGCTCTACCACTGAGCTACATTACCGACCCCCGCCCCCCGTTTTGTTTGTCTTGCAGCTACCCCAGGGCTATCATTGGTCAAGGTATCAATTTTTTGTTTGGTTGATTTTTTTGAGACAGAGTCTCACTATGTAATTCAGGCTGACCTCAAGCTCACTGAAGAACCTAGGCTGGCCTCAAACTGTTAGGGATCCTCCTGCCTCAGCCTCCTGAGTGCTAGAATTACAGACTGGTGCCACCACCCCCAGGTAGTGTGTTGATTGTTTTACATAGGGTCTCTCTGTGTAGCCTGGGCCTCAGAGTCTACAGTCCTGCCTCAGCCTGTGGGGGATAATAACGTGCACCACCATGTCTGACTAGGTGTTAAAAACGTGTGTACAGGGGCTGGAGATTTAGCTCAGCGGCATAAGCGCCTGCCTTGCAAGCAGGCAGTCGTGAGTTCGATCCCCAGTACCGATAAAAAGGAAAGAGACAAAAAAAAAAAAACAAAGTGTGTAAAGATGACCTCTGACTTACAGAGATTCAGGTTAAGACTTTTTTTTTATACTGGGATATTGAACTCATGACTTTATGCTTGCTGGGCAGGTGCTGTGCCGCTGAGCTATATCCCAGGCTCTAATTTAGGGTTTTTGACTTTACTATGGTGTGAAGTAATGCATGTTTGGCAGAAGCTATGCTTAAATGTTTAATTTTGACCATTTTCTGCATTACCAGTCTGCAGAACGAAATTGTCCTGAGACCCCAGCCATGCCGAAAGCCGAGGCTCCTGGTCAGCCACGAGAGCCCGAAGGGAAGCCCGGTGGGCTCAGGGAGCACAGGCGCTGGGTCTGCTGTGTCCCTGTGTCTGCGCATCTCCAGTAGGAGGGGCTCCGTTAGCGTGGCCGTTATGCCGCAGAAGCAGGTGTCATCGTTTTACTTTATTATACCTGTGCTGGGGGCCAGACTCACGACCTTGCGCTTACCAGGAAAGTGCTAGAGCCACTGAACTAAACTCCGGCCCCTTCCTTTCATTTTGCATTGTGAGTTCTGTGCTATAGTTAAGTTTGTTTGTGCTGGAAATTTCTCGGGCAGGATGGCGAGGAGGGAGAGTTGGTTAGCGTGCCAGCCATGGTGGTCACGGTCATTGTCACCTTAGCTTCGTGGAGTATAGGTCTGCGTAGGGAGAGGTGCCTGGATTTTCCTGTTGGGGTAGGGAAGGAGAGAGACCTGCGTGTCAGAGCTGATCCTGCGCTCGGCCTTGGAGAACAGAATTTCTCAAAGAGAACCAAGACTTAATGCTGGCGGTAAAATACCCAGCTGGGGGAAAGTCACGTGTATCTGAAAGACCCTTGTTGTGGCCTTAGGTTTATGTGAGACTTCTTAGTTAGAAAGCCCCTCAAAGCCCCTCTCTGCAGCAGCTGGGCTTGCTATTTGTTTCCATCATGACCGCAGTCAAGTTGGAAGCTCTTTTTTTTTTTTACCGGTACCAGGGATTGAACTCAGGACCACGTGCTTGCAAGGCAGGCACTTATGCCGCTGAGCTAAATCCCCAGCCCTGGAAGCTCATTTTTTCAGGAACAAAGATGGCGGCAGGCAGGAAGGAGCCAGAAGAGGCAGGGAGTGCCCGGACTAGGCCGAAGGTGGCGTGCAGGTCGGAGGCTGGTACCTGAGTGGCATAGGAAGTGAGGCACTTTGTCACTCCACGACGGCGCACTTTGTTCCCCACCTTGTCTTAGAGCACAAATAAGTTTCTGGGCTCAGCAGGGAGCCTTGCTGGGAAAGGGTTTCAGAGACACCCTTTTCTGCCCCAGAGATCTGAGTGTAATTTTACTGTGCTGTTAGGTCCCAAAAACTTTTTTTTTTTTTTTTTTTTTGTCTTTTTGAGACAGGGTCTCGCCTTGCAGTTCAGGCTGGCCTTGACTCACTTTGTAGCCCAGGCTGTCTCGAACTCACAATAATCCTCCTGCCTCAGCCTCCCAAGTGCTGGGATTACAAGCGTGAGCCGCCACACCCAGCTCAAGTCCCAGAAACTTCTGATAAAGCACATTGCTGTTGATCTTGTGTGTCCCTGGACCTGACGTATTGCCTGGACAACAATAATGCACAGAAAACATTTGTAAAAATGGATTATTCAGGCTGGGGATTTAGCTCAGCGGCATAAGCACCTGCCTTGCAAGCAGGCGGTCATGAGTGTGATCCCTGGTACTGATTAAAAAAAAAAAAAAAGGATTGTTCTCAGCCTGCGTGCAGGGAATCATAGAACAGGGGTCCTGACACTTGTCTCTTTCTCTCCTAGCTCCGACCATGACCGGCTCCACACCTTGGTCACCGAGCACTGCTTCCCGGTAGGTCCCCAGCCTTGGTGGGCCGACCTGGGTGACACCACTTTGGGTTTTCCTTTAGAGGGACCCCGTGTGAAATCATAGGATATCTAAGGCACAGGCCTAGGTCCCCTGCTCTCAGCTGAGCACTGGGGACTGCTGTGGACTCTGGTAAGGGCCATGGCACGTGAGACAGAGAACGTCCCTGTGCAGTGGTCCTGAAGCCACAGAGGTAGGACCACAGCAGCAGGTTTAACAGTCATGAGCCCTGTGTTACATGGTGATAGGATGTGGGAACTTTGGGGACCACCAAGAGTGGGGACTCCATGGTTCAGTTAGAGGTAAAGCATAATTCATTTTCTACAAATTGAGCTTCAGTTTCTACCACTAGGAGTCGAGTCTCCACCATTCTCTGCAGGGGCCAGCAGAGCACATCGTTCCTTAGCAGCACCAGCACTGCCCTGTGGCCCTGGAAGTCCCTCCTCGCCCTGTTGAAGGCGCAGGGAGGCGCATCCCAGGCAGCAGAAGTGCTTACAGCAGCTAGCGGGTCACGCCGTGGTGCCTTGAGTACTCTGGGGGTGGCACTTAAAAGGCTGTGCTTCTTCCTAGCTTGGAGAAGGGCATCAAGGAGGTGGCGGGTCTCAGACTGAGTGTTGTGAAGTGAGCGTGACCAATTGCTGAATCACAGCCTGAGAATGGGCACAGGAGCAGTGAGTGCGAGATGCAGCCTCTTGGCCAGAGAACTGTAGGGTGGCAGAGCAGGTGTGGGGGCACTGGGCTCTCAGTTGACTTTGCGCTGTCCCCATAGGACATGGTCTGGGATCTCAGATACAAGACCGTCCGCTGGAACTTTGTGGAGTCTTTGGAACCAGCCCAGGTGACTCAGGTCCGCTGCTCCAGTCTGGTGACCCAGGGTAACATGTATGGCCAGGTCACCGTGCGCATGCACTCACGGCAGGTAGGGTCACACACGAGCCCGCCTTGCTGGGCTCTGGGCTTAGGGCTGTGGGGTTGTAGCTTTGGCTGTTTCGTTTCCTTTTGTTTCTGCAGTGCTGGGGACTGAGCCCAGGGCCTGGTATGAGTAAGGTAGCTGCTGGCCCCTGAGCTGCAGCGTCCTGGCTCTGTCCTCGGGCACGGTGGAGGTGTTCTCCCACCCTAGTGGCTGACTGGTTAGTCCTAGGTTCACAGTTACGGCCTAGGGCCGAGGATGGAGCTCAGCGGCATAAATGCCCGCTTGGCAAGTGTGGGGCCCTGAGTTCCATCCCAGTACCAAAAAAATCCCCAAACAGAATTATGACATAATTTGTTTAAAAAATAGCTGTGTGGCAGATGACAACAGCAAAAAGCTAATGTCAAAGTTGGCCTCTCTACCTGCAGACTCTAGCTATTTATGATCGGTTTGGCCGCTTGATGTATGGGCAGGAAGACGTGCCCAAGGATGTTCTGGAGTATGTGGTGTTTGAAAGACAACTGTCCAACCCCTATGGGAGCTGGAGGATGCATGCCAAGATTGTTCCCCCATGGGCACCCCCAAAGCAGCCCATCCTTAAGGTGAGGCGGGCACATGGAGCCATGCTTCTTGGGCTCCACCTGGTGGAGGGAGGGGGTAGTTTGACACCAAGGACTTTGGGCTGGGTTGGTGCTAACTCCACCTCCTCCTGCTTTCAGACACTGATGATTCCCAGTCCCCAGCTGCAGCTGTGGGAGAACTGTGAAGGGGCCCCTGCAGAGGCCCCTGGCCCGAAGCCCACCTGATGGAACAGTGAAGCGCAGGTGGGAGGCTGCTGAGGTCACCCCTGTCTCCCTCCCTCAAGAGTCTGCTGCCCCAGACTTGTCATCAAGCCACAGCTCAGGTGGGCTCTATGGTGGCTGATGTGCACAGTGGTGGTCCCTCTCTGTTGTTTTGTTTTGGTTTAGTTTTTGTTTTTTGAGACAGGGCCTCACTATGCAGTTCAGGCTGGTCTTGAGCTCAGTTTGTAGCCCAGGCTGGTCTTGAACTTGAAACAGTCCTCCTGCCTCAGTCTCCCGAGTGCAGGGATTACAGGAGTGTGCTGCCCCTTTTCTTTTTTTCTTTATTTTTTTGTCTTTTTTGGGACAGGGTTTCCCTATATAGTTCAGGCTGGCCTTAAATTCACTTTGTAGCCCAGACTGGCCTTGAACTTGGAGTAATCTTCCTTCCTGTGCATCGTGGGTGCTGGGATTACAGGCGTGTGCCAACATACTTGAGATTTGCTCTGTCTTTTAAAAGCCCATGTCCAGCAAACACCTGCTGGCAAGTGTGAGGTTGTGAGTTTGATTCCTCCTTACCAAAAATAAAAACAAAGCAAAACAAATAAACAAACAAAAAAAAAAAACATCAAAAAAACAGATAAAACCCTGTGTCCAGCTTCTGAGTCTAGGTGCAGGGCCGTGTGTCTAAGAGAATACTTGACTGATTTGCTTTCTCATGACAGATGGCGGGGTGCAGACAGTGCTCCCCGTCTAGTCATTGGGCGGGGGTGAAACCTAGAATAAAATGTCTTGGGGTGGTGGGATGGTGGGCTCTGTGTGGGCTGCTGGGTCGGGCTGGGAGGAGACCAGCCTTCAGCGGGCAGGGGCGGGAGACAGGCCTCGTGGTAATCTTGTGACTTCCAGGAAGTGCAGCCCTCGTAGGAAAAATTGGCCTGTGTAAAGAGAGCAGCCCTCCAGAGTGTGTCATCTCATACACTTACCTGTGAGTCAGCGTTTGTGTTCTCTAGAGGAATAAATACAAAGAGAATTGATCCGCAGCCTGGATCATGTTGTTAGCTGCTTCCTGCCAGACCTCTGGAAGTTTGGGAGCAAGGCAGCAGTCAGGCATGGGGGATTCACTGGCTGTTCTACCCAGTCCTGTTCAGGGAGGGCAGGCCCCAGAGCATGGCCTCCTAAAACCTTGGAACCCACAGGGGTGTCAGAAGGGAGTGGGGCTTGACATGCTGTGTCCTGTATCACCTGGGGAATGACGGGAGGAATCGCTGTCTTCTAGCAGCTTGCTTGGCTTGTGCTGCTGCTTTCATTACTCTGGTGCAGGCCTTTCTTTAGAAAGAGGGCCTTGGGCCAGGAGTGTAGCTCTGCAGCCCAAGCGCTGGCCTGGCAAGCTTGAGGTCATGAGGTGATCCCAGGTACCAAGAAAAAAATAAAAACAGGGCCTTTCCCAAACTGAGGCAGGAGACTCAAGAGTGTGGAGAGCACAGTAAGACCATGTCCCAAAAGGTACAACTGGGGATAAGACTCCTGGCAGAGCACAGGTGTAGCCTGTGCAAAGCCCTGGGTTTCAGCTCCAGTACCCCAAAAACAACAACCAAAAAGATCCAGCATTTTAACTTTCATGCTCACTTGTTTCAAGCCTAGCGTTTTCTTTTAAGGAGTCTGTTACTCCTTCCCTTTTGTGTTTCTGGGTGGGCTCAGGACCCAGGGCCAGACGCGTGGCATGCTAGACATGCACTGCTGAGCTGCTCCGCACCCCAGGCTTGCCACTCACCTAGGGTTCATCTCTGCTGGTCTGGTACTCAGAATAGGGTCCCCAGGAACGAATCAGGTAGAAAATAAGTAACTCAGTTCTCATCTCCCTGAAGCTACTGTCTCAGCAGAGCAGCAGCTAGCAGAGGCCTCATCCGGGACCGCAGTCTGTTCCCAGGGGCCGCTGTGGGCTGGCGGGGACAGCAGGGCTGTGTGTGCTGTGGGCAGAGACAGCACTGCAGGGCTAAGCCCAAGCAGCCATGGCGCCAGTGGCGCTCAGCGCATCTGGCTCAAAGTGCACATCGTGGGCGCGGGGGCTGTGGGCACATCCTATTTGCCTGAGCCCCAGATTAAGGCAAAAGGAGAATTGCTTTGAGCAGAGCCACAGCCGGAGGACAGGGAGGTAATCTGGCAGGGCAGGAAGCAGAGAGACCGAAGGGCACACTTAATAGGCAGCCGCCCCACTGATGTCTCCTGCATATGGAAAACTGCTTCAATGCAGTCCCATCCAGTTCTCCAGGATGCTCGGGGTCTCTAGATAATCTGAGACAGCAGCCAAACAGGGGCACCCTCAGGGAGCCAGAGGGTGAGTGCACTTCCATTTCCCCTTGGGATCAAATCTGGCTGAGCAAATGGCCCCAGGTGTAAAGCGCTGGCTGGAGGCCCAGCAGAGCCCATCTGCGGTGCGGTCTCCTGCACTGGGCACTGGCAGAGACCAAGCCAGAGCCCCTGAAGCCCCGCAGGCCACAGCATTTGTACCCTGCACTCCAGAATGGGAGCTATTTTCTTTCTGTCTGCCATCCTGTGCTGAAAAAGACCAAGCGCGGTGGCGTACACACCTGCGGTCACAGCACTCGGGAGGCTGAGGTGGAATTGCTGAGTTTGAGGCCAACCTGGACTACTTAGTGAGTTCAAGGCCAGCCTACATTACATCCTGACTCAAAAAAATAGGTGGGCACAGTGGCGCACACCTCTAATCCCAGCACCGGGCAGGCTGAGGCAGGAAGATCCCTGAGAATTCAAGGCCAGCCTGGGCTACATTGTGAGTTCAAAGTCAACCTTAACTGCATAGTGAGACCCTGTCTTAAAAAAAGAAGAAAAAGAACATTAAGAATAAACCAGAGCCAACTGCCGCAGTCCAGAAAACACTTTCTTTATTCCTTCTGCCTGTACCTTTATTTCACAAGAGTTAATGTGGGGACAACTTTGCTCTTCTTGGGGGTCTGACCAGCAGGGCTGTTCTGGGGCACACAGCTGCCTTAGCACACATTGGCTCAGCAGTGGGGGCTAGGTGGGCACTCGAAGCCCAGGGGAAGGGAGGCAGTTGTCCCCACACACCACCCTGGGACGCTCTGTGGCCGCAGAGCACCTGCTTACCCCGGTCTCTCCTCCTCTTCTTGCTTGGGTGTTTTTCTCCTCCCTGCTCCCTCTGAATGGGCCATTGGATCCCTGCACTGTTACCTAACACTGCCTGTGGAGTGGACAGCCAGGCTGCCTAAGAAAGAGGGCTTTGTGTTTACTCCATCCACCCTGTCCTGCTCCACACCCTCTAACCTGCCCATGCTCTTTGGGGGAGATGGAGCAAAGGCTGTCACCGGACAGGTCTCATTGCACTGACAGCAGTGAAAGGACCAGGAGGAGGGGAAGAAGCCCGAAGAGATGAGTTAAAAGCCTGCAGGAGGCACGCAGAGGAGCCCGAGAGGGCTTGGGGACACTGCTCTGCCTGCCCCACCCCCCTGCCCCCAGTGTGGTGAGGAGGCTCGATGCTGGCCTGGACGTCAGTGCCTGCCTGTCTGCCGCAGTCCAGCAGGGCAGGTGCGAGGAGCCAGCAGCAAAACGCAAACAGGAGCCTCAGACTCAGGAGACTGCACCTGGCCTTTAGGCTTTTCAGGCCGTGATCTGAGTGCTTTTGGTTTTCTCCCTTCAGCTCTCCACTGCGAGTGTGTGCTTCTTGTTGAGCTTTTGGGGAGACCCAACACCTGCTCTGCCCCATTCCCGGGGTTGCCATGGCCTTGCATGGTCTGTCACTTCTCTGGCAGAGCTCCTCTTGCAGAGGGGAATTGGGTCTCCCCACTCTGGGCCCCACTGACACCCTTCTCAGCTGAGGGTCCAGACCTGGGGGCTTGTCCGAGAGATCAGGATGGGTAGGAGGCCATGTCCTCGGAAGCAGAGGGTGTGGCTTTAGTTTCTTTTCTTAGCGGGGTACCAGGAACTGAACTCAGGACCTTGCACTTGCCAGGCAGGTGCTGGTGCCACTGAGCTAAATCCCCAGCCCCTGAGTGTTAGCTCCTTGAGCAGGAGGGAAAGTCAGTTTTCCACACGGGACTTCCCTCCAGCTCTGAGCAGCACCCTTCTCACTAGTTTTTCAGTCCAGTGGCCATCAGGCTCCTGGGGAGTGGGGGCAAGTGTCTGGACGCTAGGATGTGGGCAGGACCTCAGCTCCCGAGGATGGGCTCTGTGCCTTCCCTTGACAGAGGTGTCACTCAGTCCCAAGGACAAGCAGGTGGAGGGCCAGCAGTGTCCCCCTGAGTTTCCGAGGCTGCTTGTCCTCGGTCCTCAGCTAAAGGAGATGACTTCTGAGCCTCTGCTTCCTGCAGACTGAGCTCCGGGGCGGCGCTGGTCCTTGGCCCTGGCACTGAAGCTCCCTGAAGTTCCCTGACATCTTCCTGGGGACCAGCACCAGCTGCCTTGTTCCCCTTGGTCCCTTCAGGGCGGGAGCTCTTGCTTTCTGGAAAGAAACTAATGGGGAGGCACAGGGACTTCTCAGGGGCCCGGGGGACATTCTCTGCCTGAGCCACTGTTAAAGCCAGGAGCCCGGGTTCTTCAGATGGGGCCTGAGTCTCTTCCCAGGGACAGATGTCCGCCATGGTGCCCCTTATTTTATTTCCTTCAGGATCTGTGACCTCCCACTGACAGAGCTCTGCTATCTGGGTCCCCACACTGCCTGCTCCTCGGCAGCTGCCATTCTCATAGTCAGTGTCCAGTGCATCTCCTGGGGGAACAAGGCCCTCTGACCCTGCCCCCTCCCGGAGGCTGACTGTGTCCTGCTCTTGCCTGAGTGTCAGCCTGAGTGTCGCTGCTACTTCTGAAGAGTCTCCCTCAGCCCTTGCAGATCCTGTCCTTGGGAGGAATGCCTCTCCTTGTCCTTGGGACCCTCCAGCCACCTCTTGTGCCAGTGCCCCTTCCCTTGCTGCCCCTGGACCCAGTTCCCCAGGGCAGACCTCTGCTTTCTTGGCAGAGGACACCTCTTCCACTTCCCAAGGACACATCTCTGCCACCCGGGTCCTCACATGGCCTGCAGCCTCTGATCTGTTTCTGCACACATCAGAAGTACCCAGGGCCAGCTGTGGTGACAGACCGCCACAGTCTCTCCTGTCGCCGGGACACACAGCCTCCAGCTTCCTGCCATCTGCCATCTCGGGCGTTTCCAGAGCTGCCACCCCTGGGGGCTCTGGTCTTTCTAGGACTCTTCCTGTTCCCTCCTGCGGGTCTCCCTTTCCATCCTGTTTGGATGCCCCTTTCTCAGGGACTTTCTCCATGGCCTCCCAGGGACAGACCTCGGCCTTGGCACTGCTATCAGCTTGACATACATCTGGGTCAGAAGCTTCCCATGGGCACAGATGGGCGGCGCTGGCCCCAGCACTGCTTGGGGCCTGGAAACTGGCTTCCCGTTGGGCAGGGTGCGGGCTGGCTGGGTGGGACAGAGAGTCCTCCAGCACCATGTTGTCTCTTGGACAAACAGACTGACTCTTGCGCCTTGCTTGTTCCTCCCCGTCAATCGCCAAGTCAGCCTTCCAAGCTGGAGCCTTTCCCTGGCTCTTGTGTTCTGGGGGGAAGCCCATCTGTGGGTCTGGTTTCAGTGTCCCCTTCTCTGTTGCTTCTGCACTCACTGCCAAGGACAAGTCCGAGACCTTGGTGTCCAGGGCAGAGGATTCCAAGTCCTGGGCCTCCCAAGGACAAATAGCTTCCTGCTGTGGATGGAGTTTTGCCTCCAAGTTTGCCACCCCTCGTCCCAGGGCAGGAAGCCCTCCTTGTTCTAGGGTTTCCTCCCAGCACCCCGCTGGTGCTGGTGTACTCCCTGTGTCTTGCTCTGACCCCTTCCGGGTATCTCCTTCATTCACCTCCCAGGGACAGATCTTGGCTTTGTTGCTGGTGGCAGCTTCCTGCACTTCCCAGAGACACACTTCAGTCGGCCTGCAGCCCACACTGCCCAGGTCCTGGAGTCCCACTCCTGGCCTGTCAGTGTCCAAAGCATCCTCATGCTGACAGTCCCCTGGACCTGAGGTCTCCTGGGGACAGACCACTTCCTCCTGTACACCTGGCCGCCCTGGCTCCTGTGTCTCTCTGGGCCTGGAACCTGCACACGCCTCTCCCACAGCAGCATTTGGAGATTTTCTGGGGGCCTCAGTTCCTCGATCCGGATCCTCTTTCTCCCTTGCTCCAGCACCCTCCTCCCAGGGACAGATCTGCGCCTTCTCAGCCATCAGGGCGTCATCCACTTCCCACGGACAGACCTCGGCAGCCCTGCTTCCCATGCTGCCTGAACTCTGGGAAATAACTTGGGGTCTCTCTGAGTTTTGGGCACCAGGCGGTGGGGGAATGCTGCCAGGATCCGTGCTCTCCCAGGGGCAGACTGATTCCTGCTTTGAGGCCTGCACCTCAGGCCTGTCCTTGGAAGTGACATCTCGGGTCTCTCTTTTTGCAGACATTTTCTCCTTAGCCTTTTCAGAGTGTCCTTTGGCTGCCTGTCCTGAAGTCCCGTCCTCCAGTCCTTCACTGACCTCCCAAGGACAGACATCTGCTTTCCTGGGGTCAGGCGTTGTGTCTCCTGCCTCCCATGGGCACACCTCAGTGATACTGCTGCCCAAGCTCCCCGAGGCCTGGAGAGGGACTGCCAAGGGGCCCCGAAAGTCTGTGCTCTCCCAGGGACACAAAGACTCCAGGCCTCCATCCAGCTTCTGTCCCCTCCAGAGGGCTGCTTTCTTGGGAGGGCCCTGCCCTTCCCGAGGGAGCTCCCTCTCTCCTGGGGGAGGAGTCCCCTGGTCCCCTTCATCCACCTCCCAGGGGCACAGCTCTGCCTTGGCAGGTTGAGGGGACCGAGCCTCCGTGCCAGGGGCCTCCCCCTGGGGCTTGTTTGGCTTCTTCCCATCCACACTGCCCACTGCTCTGGGGTCGGTGCCCTCCCAGGGACACACAGCCTCCTGGCTCCGTACCAGCCTCTCTGGCCTCTTCCGAGCTGTGACAGCTGCCGCCCCCCTGAGCTCTGATTTGCCTGTGGCTGTCCTCTTGTCTTCCTGGGTATCACCTGGCTGCTGACCTGATGGACTTCCTTCGCTTACCTCCCAGGGGCAGATCTGGGCCTTGCTGCTGTTGTCCAGCCCACCCACATCTGATTCGGCCACTTCCCAGGGACACGCCTCTGCTACCCTGCGGTCAGCGCTGCCCGGCAACTGGAGGCCACTTTGGAGCGGTTCCTGCCGCCCTACCGGGACTTCCTTGGCTTGCTCAGCACTTTTGTCCCCAAACACTTGCCTCAGCGTGGCCAGCCCTGTTTTGCCCACTCTCTCAACTCTGTGCTCCCTGAGGCCCTGGGACATCTTCCGGCCTCTGTCTTGCTCCCTCCCGCCCTCCTGGTGACAGACCTGGAGCATTCTGCTGGTGTGTGCGTTCTGCTGGTTCTGCAGGGACTCCTCGTCATCACAGGATGCCAGGGCCACCTGCTTACCCACCGCCCTGGGCCGGCCTGGCCTGGGAGACCAGGGGGCTGTAGCCCTGCCCTTCTCCATCTCGTGGCCATCTTCGCAGCCCTCCTTCTCCCTGTACGTGCTCCGGGACCGTGTCAGTGCTTTGATGGCCAGGCCCAAGCTGCGCATGGAGCCCTCCTGCATGGGTGTCTTGAGGCTGTGGGATTTCGAGAAGATCTTGGGCCTGTCTTCATCCCCCTCACCTGCTTCCCCCTGTGGCCGCCCGTCCTTGGTGTCCACATCATTGTCCCTAGACGCCCTCTTCTCTACCGCCACAGAGAGGGCCCTCCAGAGCTTGGCTCTAGCCGGGGCGGGGGAGTGGCTGCCTGGCTCCAGCCCAGAGATGCCTTTCTGGGCAGTATTTTCTTTCTTGACTGGCAGCTCTGTGTTCTCCCAGGGGCAAATGTAGGTGAGTAAACTGGGACTTTGGGGGGGTCCTGGGAGCGGTGCCAGGGCAGGAATGGGTACTGGGGCCAAGGCAGAGCTGGGCGACAGCATTCGTGGCTCTGCTAGGGAGGCCCCAGGGAGGCCCAGGATGGGCGATGACACCCGGTGACGGATTGGTGGGTGAGGCGACCTCATGCCGCCTTCATCCTGGGGCCCTCCAGTGGCCTGAGAGCTGTCCATGCTGCTGCTCTTGGCAGGGGATGGTGGGGCAGACAGGGGGACACCCCAGGCCCGCTCCGGCCTCCTGGTTAATGGCCTGCGCAGCGAACTGGCCATGGCCACCTCGGCCCTCTTTCGCTCCTGTCTCTCCTTTGCCTGCCAGTAGGTCTCTTCCAGGTAGGCCTGGCTGGCCAGCAGCAGGGCCTTTTCCCTGGTGTCAGCCACCACACTGAGTGACTTCTGCAGGGAGCTGGGCCGGGCCCGGGGCAGCCGCTCGCTCACAGTCAGGTTGTGGGCACTGGCCGAGCGGAAGCCCAGGGCTAGTGGCCCCTCGGTGGTGGCAGGCTCCTGGCCATCCAGCCTCAAGGCCTTCCGAGATAGGTTTCTCTGCAGCACGGAGCCCAGGAGGGCTGGCTCCTGCTCCTGGTGCTGGTCACAGGTGCTGTGGGAATTGGCCAGGGCAGGGGACCCCTCAGCATCTTGCTGGCCAGAGCTCAACAGCCGGCGGCGGGAGGAGCCAGGCAAGCTACTACAGCCCAGGGAGCTGGAGCCCCGGGAGTGCTGCCTGGCTAGGGCCTCGGGGAACTCAGCCAGGTATCTCACGAAGGAGCGGCCCAGCCCCTGGCGGGAGCTGCCCCTCTTCTTAGGCAGGTGCGGGTTGTTAGCAGCCATCTCCTTGGTCTTTCGGACCTCTAGCTGGGTATATAGCTTCTTCAACTCATCCTGCAGGTGGGAAGGGAGGAGAGCAGAGCCGCAGGTGAGACTCCTCTCTTCCTCCTGGGGACCCTTTGCATGCAGCTGTGTCCCTTCTCTGCTTCAAAAATGCTGCCAGTAATCTCAGCACTCAGGAGGCTGACACAGAAGAATTGCCTCAAATGCAAGGCCAGTCTCGGCTATGTAGTGAGTTTAGGCCTGGCTTGGACTATACAACAGATCTTATGTCAAAAAAAAAAAAAAAAAAAAAAAAAAGTATCAGGATGACCACTCACTGCCTGAGCTGCCCAGCCCAGCTGGGCACCAAACGTTTCTTAGTCTGCCCTCCGTGGAGGGCACAGGGACTAGGGCTTTACTCTCAACTGTGCCCCTGACACATGGGCAGGCCTCTAGGCTCTAGGTCCCAGGGCTCGGGGGTTCTTCCCTTGCTGGCGTGTGGCTTCCTTCAGAGTCAGGACTCTCTTTAGGGTGGAGATGGGGAATGGGGGGGAAATCCCTCTGCCCAGGCCTTGAGAGCTGGCATCAGAGGCCTGGGGGCAGCACTCACCCGAATGTCCCCAGGGTCCAGGCTGTGCCCGCTCCAGGCCGAGGCAATGCTGCTGTTCAGGTAGGAGCCTGAGCGCTGCAGTTCCAACTCATCCTCATACACCTCGTCCAAGATCTCCTCATGGGGCTGTACCCCCGGCTTCTGGAACTGGCCAGGGCGGGGCGGGGCGGGGCAGCACGGTTCACCATGGCCCCCATCCACACCCCGTCCACGCCCGCTGCCCCTTTCCCTGTGCGGCCCAGCTTTACTGCGCCAAGCTTCCTCCCTTCTCTGACTCAGAAATCCAGAGTCCCTGCCCTTCTCAGGGTGACACCTGCGTGTCCCCCCCCCCCCCGTGTCCTGAGACCTGACGCCTGTGCCTATCACTGTTTCCAAGCAAGTTTGCACGGTGCACGAACCTCACTCACAGCAGTGCTGAAGGGACCCCCACCTGGCTCTGGCACTCACTTCTCCAGCCCCAGGGTGGATGCATGCGGGGCACAGCTCCCAAAAGTCCTGAACTAGGCTCCTTCCGCAGGACACCTCTCAACCTTGCCCTGACCTGCAGAGGGCGCTATGACCCCACCTTAGGGAGGAAGATGAGAGCCAGCGTGGCGGTGACCGTGCTGTGGGTGTGCAGGAAGAAGAGGACGAGGGTCCAGTCCGGGTGCAAGGAGGGAACCAGCATGAACCTGGAGCCAGGTGGGACAGGTGATCAGGGCCTGAGCCCTGAGCCCCAACATTTATGGCGTCCCCACCTCCGCGACGCCTGCCCAGGCTATCCCAGGCTTCAGATCTGTGCTCCATGACTCTGCAAGGACCCCCTGTGGGCTGATCTATCTACACCACAGGACCAGGTCCCCAAGGGTGTACGGCAGGCCTGGGGTGGCTAAAGTGGGCGTGAGAAAGAGGGAGGGAGGGTGTGGAAGGCATATGTTGGGAATCCTGCAAGATGGCTCACAGGGAGAGGGAGCAGCAGAAGTCATAATAGCTAAATCTTGGGAGTGACTGATATGCCCACCATCAGGTGAAGAGATATAGAAAATGGTATTTACACCCGATGGAGTACTACTGTGCCATAAAGAAGGATACACTTTGACTCTTTTGTAGAAAAATGAAAGCATCTCGAGACCATGATGATGTGTGAGCTAAGTCAGACACACAAGCTGCAGTATCACATGGCTGCTCCAACATGAGTAGCTCAAAAAATAAAGAGCAAAATAAAAAAGATAGTAAGAAATAGGGAACTAGAGTTTTGCCAGAGGGAAAGCAATCCAGAGATGGAGGGAGGGGGAAGGAGAGGAGAAGGAGAAGGAAAAAGAATTAAAATGTGTCATTTACATGCAGCACTTCCCACAAGGAATATAAATATTATGTATAGCAGATGTGTTAATAAAAATTTTTAAATTATTAAATTTAATTAAAATTTTCTAAATTATTTTGGTTTTTATCTTTTTTTTTTTTTTTTTTGGTACTGAGGATTGAACTCATGACTCGATTATGCGGCTGTGCAAAATCCCCGGCCCTTTTAAATTTTTTTTGTGAAGGGATCTCGCTGTGTGGTTTGGATTGGCCTTGACCTCTCAGTGACCCTCCTGCCTCAGCCTCCATGTGCAGGAATTACAGGTGTGCTCCACCACACCAGGGCAAAAAATTTTAAAAATAAAAAAATTTTAAAGGGAATAGGAGGAGAGTTAGGAATAGGTTTGCTTCCTGGTCTTGCTGCCTGCTAGGGACATGGGGTGGGGGAGGGGAAGGACCTGGCCTCAGCCCACTGCACCTAGGGAGGAAGGGGAAGAGGGTGGACGTGCCGTGCACGCTCACCTGGCCGTGTGGAAGGCCGCGGAGAGCAGCAGTTCGTTGTGCAGGGCGATGCTCATGTAGCGTGGCTCATGGAAGGCCGAGGGGACCGCGCGGGTGGCGTAGCACAGGAAGCTGCCCCAGCACAACAGCAGCACCTCCGCTGGGGAGAGACCGGGGTGGGGGGACCTCAGCGTCCCACCTCCTGTCCCCCTCCATGCCTGGCACGAACCAGGACAACCAGGCCGAAGGGACCCCAGAGGGCCGAGTGACTCACCCACAACCATGATGTAGTCCCAGAGGTCATGGTGACAGAGAAAGAAGTGGCGGCCGGTGGGAGTGTGGCCTCGGATCACCAGAGGCATGAGCTGGCCTCGCTCCAGGACGCCCGCCGTCCACACGGCCAGGAAGCCCAGCACGGCGAGCAAGAGCAGCGCCAGGCGCCGCAGCAGCTGCCCGCTGCCCAGGTGTGGGCCACGCTGGGCCGAGCGGGACAGAAACAGCTGGAGCACCCTGCAGCGGCCAGGGAGCATGGAGAGGAGATGGAGGGGGCGGGGCGAGGCGGGGCCAGAGCCCTGTGTTCACCTGTCCTCCGGGACCTGACACAGCTCCCAGTCCCCAGAAGTTGCACGGCGGGGAAGGCTCAGCGCTGGGTGGGTTTGGGGGTGCAAGAGTGGAAGACTCCCTTGTGGAGGAGCGGGAGGCCCTACCTATAAAGCTTGAGTGTGATGGTCCCATAGACGGTGACAAAACCCAGCAGCCGGACCCAGCGGAGAGCAATGCAGCGGAAGACGCTGGGCTTGAAGTACAGGATAAAGACCTGGGGGAGGCGGAAACAGCTGCTCTGCCAGGCATGGCCTGTGCCAGTGGTGGCCCCGCAGAACCCCCAGCAGCCCCTCGAGGGTCGGGTGTGTCCTCCTGTCCTGCCTGCATGGGAGTGGGTTCAGTGGGCCGGAGCTGAGGTACTGGTCCCGCCGCCCGGGACCCCAGAGCTCCCGGAAGCCTGCAGCCAACTGGCTCCCCAGCCTACTAGTGGCTACAAGGAGCGGCCACTTCACTGCAGGGCACGGTGGAGAGAGGGCTCTGGGCTCTACAGGGGGTGGCTCTAGGGGTGTTACGGAAAGTGGGTCCAGCTGCTGGCCGCAGACTCACAGGGAAGTAGAGAAGCAGGGATCCGAAAAGGATGGCTTCCAGCAGGACGACTCCAGATGCCCGAATCCTCTGGGCCCAGGAAGAAGAAGCCGTGAGCAAGCACAGAGAGGACAGCGCCTAGACCAGGGTGCTGGAGGCTCTTGGGCAGTGAGGGGCTTGCCCTGGCCCTGGAATAGTCTGGAGCACCAGCTGTACCCTTCTGCCCACCCTGGCTCCTAGCTGTGGGGCCACCTAAGTCTGCCCAAGCCCAAGGCTTCACCCAGCACCTTGCTGGCTCAAGCCTTCCAGTCCTGCTCTGGGCTCCAATCAGAGGCTGCCAGAGCAAGACTGGACTCCTTCAGGCTCTGGATCAGAGGGCTCTCTGTTCATGAGACACACTGACCTTGCCCAGTAAACATCAGTTAGCCAGGCTATAATCCCAGCACACTGGGAAGCAGAGGCAGAAGAGTTGCAAGTCCAAGGTTGTCACCCTAGCCTGGCTAACTGGGTGATTTTTGGACTTGGACATCTGTCTGTATCATGAATGAGGCTTAGAGTCCAGGCTGGCACCCAGCCCCACCCTTCACTGGCTGTGCGTAAACCCGGGTCTCTGCTGAGGTGGATGGTGTGCGCAAGAGCGGGGGGGTCAGGAGGGGCAGCTTGCCTTGCTCCAGCGGCGGTGATAGGAGATTACCATGCTCAGGAACACCGCCAGCATGCAGCAGGCCTGGCAGGCCAGCACCGCAGCCCGCAGCGCCAGGGCCTCCTGCACCAGGCACGGCGTGTCATCCACACAGCCAGTGCAGCCCTCTGGGCATGGCTGGCACCGCAGCAGCCTCCCCTCCCCGGTGGTCTGTGCAATATCCTCCTCTAGTGCTGTGAAGAACAAGGTGGGTGCAGAGAAGGGGTGTGGCTGGGGCTCCATCCTTCTGCTTTGACTGCTATCCTGGCCCAGGTTGGGAGAGAGTGGGGACCGCCCCCCCAGGGAGGGCAGAGGAACAGGAAGTGACAATGTTGGGCTGGGCTCCCTGGGAGGCCCACTGGCAATACTTCATTCTCAGAAGGCAGATACTCCCAAACAGCCCCACTGACACCCCCAGCTTCTCTCAACCTTCTGTCCTGGCCCTAACCCGGACTCGCCTTCCAGGTCACCCTAAATGGTCTTCTTCCTTGGATCCTCCCTGCCCCCAAGAATACCCAGTCCTCGCCTTACATACCCCCAGAGCCACTTGCCCCGAAGAATCCAGGCCGGCAGCGACAGAGGTATTGGCCAAGGATGAAACCCTGACCCTCCAAGGGGACACACTGTGGGACAAGATGATGCCCGTTTATCTGGTGCCTTTCTTGGGAAGAGTGAGGGGGTCCATCTGTTCCCTATCCCTGTGGCTTCTGGGACTACACTGGGGAGGTCCTATCAGAAGCGGTCCCTGTTCTATGGGGAGTTTTCACTCTCTGGAAACTTCACCCCTCAAAACATGTTGTTGTCTCTTCCCAAGGAGACTAAGCAGAGGCCTGGAGTGGCGCATGCGTCTCATTTCCCAGTGCCCAGCTGCCGACAGGCGCAGAGTCCAGGACAGAGAGAGGCAGGCAGCTCTGCACCCAGGTGTGCTGCAAAGGCCCCTGAGGTGGAGTGGCCTCCTCTATCAGAGGCCACCTGGCTGTGGCACAGGCCTGCTTTCTCCAGCCCTAATGCCAGGCTGATGCCAGGCTGGTGGGATGCCAAGGCTGACCCTTTATCCCACTTCTACCCACTGCCCAGTAGGGGCAGGGAGGCTCCCGAGATAGGCAGGAAGGGTGAGCACACAGCCTGGGGAGTGGCTGGGATCAGACACCAGTGAGCGAGGGCCGGGCTTAACCACAGACAGCCCCTGACCTCCTTCTGCTGGAGGGCTTAGTGTGGTGCTTATGAAACCAAAGCCCAGCTTCGTATATCCTGGACCACTTCACTGTGCCCTGATCCAGCAATGTCTGCACAATCATGAAAGTGTACCTGGGGAAGACGACTGCGTGGTCGGGTGAAAAACTGAACGCCCAGGCATGGTGGAACACACCTCTAATCCCAGCACTAGGGAGGCCGAGGCAGGAGGACCATCACTCGGCCCTGGGAAGGGCCCCTAGAGCACTGAGCGCCCACTGATCAGGCAGAGGCTGTGAGCGGCGGCACTGATAGAAACCCTGGCCCTTCACCTAGGCCAGTCACTAGGGTATCCCCAGGAGCCTGAGATGCTGGGTGGCTTTGTCAGCTGATCCTGGGGCTGGGTGGTGGTGCTGACAGGCAAGGGGAGCAGAATCATGGGGTTCCTGCCTCATCCTCACCTGGGTGCTGTTAAGGTCACACAGGTGCGTGTTAGAGAACCAGCTGGGGCCACTGGCACACTGATTGATGTCCACGGTCTGGAGGTCTATGTCCATCTGCACCCGTCCCCTAGGGTGGGGAATCGGCAGTCAGGGCCACGGCAAGGGACACTGAAGTGTCTCAGGGCTCCAGGCTTTCCCAGTGCCATTAGGCCTGTCACTGTGGCAACCTCCCTTCCTGCTAGGGCCTAGCTGGGTCCCCAGCTTCTCAGCATCCTATTATGCTCTGGTCTCTGTAAGGGGCGGAGAGAGGCGACCTGGTGCAGCAATCCAGGCTCCCTGATGTCAGGGGTGGAGGAATTTCACACTTCTCATTGTGGATGCATGCGTGCGCGCACACACACACACACACACACACACACACACACGCACACACACACACACACGCAGCTCACACTCACTGCCCCTCATCCTGCCTAAGCTAGGTCTGAACTGGTCACAGGCCAAGAAGGAAGGAAACGGGGACCCCAACCCTCCCCAAGCCCAGCTCCAGGCTGCACGGGAGAGATCTGGCAAGGAGCCAGGCTGTCTGGCCTCAGGAGGAGGAAGCCCTGCTGGGAACAGGCTGAAGAGGCTGATTGTTGAAAGCCTTGTAGCGCTGTGTGCATTTGTGGCCCCCTGACCCACAGGGCACCTGGCCTCTTTGTGCCAGTGGAGCAGAGCCGGTTACCCGAGGAGCTTCACATCCCTAGGTCAGGACAGGTGGCACAGTAAGGCTCCCCTGGAGTACAGGCGCTAGGAATGGAGGCAGAATGTGGCGGCCCCATTTGGGAGGCTGAGGCAGGAGGATTGTCACAAGTTCAAGGCCAGTCTGGACTTCATAGTAAGTTCAAGGCCAGCCTGAACTACATTCCAAGCCCTCAGCACCAGGTTTACCTTGGAGAGTGCTTACCTGGCTCCCCTAAGAGCCCCGTGCATGGATTTGCACTGTCATCAAGCCAAGCCCTCTCCTGCCTCTCACACTCACACCTTAGACCTGAGGGCCAAGACCTGTGCCCATCTGTGCCTTCATATCTGCACACACTTACATGTGTGCCTGGGTAGAGCTGCACCCCAACATGTGGGCACCTGCCCTATATGCGTGAGCTCAGGACATTCGTTTATACCCAGGGCAGCGTGTGTTGGTGGATTAATCCATACACACACATTTGTGTGTTAATGACTCCCAGCACTGGCTACAGACACAGCTGCACATGGATACACACAAGTGTGTCCCCGAGAGCCCGAGTGTGCTCCGGCAAATGGCCCGGTCAGCAGGACTGACACCTATCCCTGACCCCGACCTCTGGACCCCTCAGAGCTATGAGACCATGACTTACCTGACCTCCGGGCTGAGGTCGGGCTTGAGTCCATAGAAGGTGGCAGAGAGAGTGACCAGCCAGCCGGGCCGGAGCTGGCCCTCCTGGCAATCCAGAAAGGGAGGGGACAGCCTCACCTGCTGTGTGTCCCCCACGTATCCATCCCCCTGGGGCCACTTGGGACTGTTGAGGCTCCTCAGGTCATTGGTCAGTACCCGCTTCTGTAGGCCAAAGCTGTCCAAGTCCTCGGCTGGGCTCTCCTCCTGCATCCTGTTCCCGGACAAGTCCTGCAGGAGGGTCTCTGCCCCCATCCGGGTGGCCTGCAGGGCCAGAGGTAGGTGGCTGGCTCCTGGTGGGGGGTTAAAGGTCAGCAAAGCCCGGTAGGCCCTGGGGTCACCCTCGGCCACACTGCGGACCAGGGCCTGGTACCATTCTACATCTTCCTCCACGCTGGACTCACGGATGTCGTTGGCCTGCAGCAGCATGTTGAGAAAGTTGGCAGCCTGGGCCAGGGTGCCTGCTGCCCCCTGCAGCACCGGGGGGAGCCCTGCTCTGGCTTCCACCCCGAGAGCCTCGTAAGGCTCACTGCAGTTGGCGCCCACCAGCTGGTGGGCATCTCCCGAGTAGAGAAAAGCCAGGGCGGCCCCAGCTCCCGGTAGGGGCCTCCACACAGGCTCCAATGCAGGCTCGGTTTGGGCAGGGAGCGGGGGCAGAGAAGGCAGGGGCCTCGGGCTCCCCAGAGCCCCGCCACAGAGGAAACAGCAGCACAGCAGCCCCCACACTGGAGAGCGCTGGAGCGCGGCCCCTGCACCCATCCTGGACACACCTCCTGGGACTCTGGGCTCTGGGGTGCCCAGAGGAATTGGGGGAGCAGGGGAGCCCAAGCAGAGGCTGGCGCTGTCTAGGACTGGCCGCTCATGCCTCCTCCGCCCTGGCCGTCTCTCACCGTCATCCTCTGGCCTGTTTTCTCCTCTCTAACGTCATCCGCCAGCCTCTGGCTGCAGGTATAAGGGCCCTGCCTCTCCTCTCGCAGCCCAGTCCCCCCTTAATCCCGGCACAGCACCCCATCCCGCCCCACATCTGTCCAGAGAGGAGGGAGGGAGGGAGCGGCCAGCCCTGCTGCCCTCCTCCTCCCCCTGCCCTTTGCTCCAGTAGAAGAGATGGGCAAATCCAGGATGGGCGCCATAGCAACGCAGCCTTGCAGGCCCCTCTCTCCATCCCTGTGCTCCGCTTAGTCCATGCAGCCATGCCAAAGGCACCATCCGGGCCAGGTTGAGCCCCATCACCAAGCTGCTCATCTGGGATTTGAGATCAGGATGCTGAGGATGGAAAAATGAGCCTACTCAGGCCGTTACATACTCAGGCCGGTGGCCGTTTACAGAGTTTCTCTTGCCTGTTGCCTCAAGTTACCCTGTTCCACAACCACAGATAGTGCACAGCCTGACGCCCATTTCACAGATGCAGATAGTAAGACTCAGAAACCACCTCCAAGACCCTGCAGCTGCTCACTTCGAGTCTCAAACATAAAGCTCTGGCTTCCTTACTTTGCCCAATTAAACCACCATCACTCAGGGAACTAGGATGGCATACTGCCCACTGCCAGACATGGTGGCACAGCCTGGAATCCCAGCACTGAGGAGGCTGAGGCAGGAGGATCGCAGAGTGCAAGGCCAGCCTGGGCTACACAGTGAGTTCAAGGCTTGTCTGAACTATATAGCAAGACCCTGACTCAAAAACATAAAAAATGAAGTCCCTTTACAGCGGAGTAAATCAGGATCCAGACTCACTTCCCTCAGTCCACTGGGTTGCTCAGCTCTACCCAGGTCACCCCTGAGGACCTAGGTCCTCCTCCTGGCCTACATCTAACAGTCGCCACAGCCATGGGGGAGGAGGCAGGCAGGCAAAGTTCCCTGTCCACTCTCCGGCCTGCACTGTATTACCCTAAAGCTTGCCTTCTCCTGCCTTTCTTCACAAAACCTGCCACATCTCTCCCGCTCCTCCTCCCAGATTGACTCTTCCTCACACCCTTCCCTCTGCCAGACCCAGTAACTGGGGAGCCCAGGGTTGGGGCAGCTGCATGGGACCTGGAAGAGAGGTGTCCTTGGAAGCTCCTGCCTTCCCTACAGGCCAGGCGGCCTCATCCTTCAGCTTCCCTAGGGAGAAGCTCTCAGCTCCCCAGCAATGTGGTCCGGAAGTTCTTTCTTTCTCTCTCTCTGCCCTCTCTCTTTGGGGATGGAACCCAGGGGTGACTACTGATGAGCTACCTTTGTGTTATTTTTTTTTTTTTTTTTTTTTGCTTTTTGAGACAGGGTCTCATTATGCAGCCCAGGTTCTCCTGAGTGCTGGGATTACCAGGGTGCACCACACGACTGGCTCCTGACTCTTTTTTGTTTTGTGTTTTATTTTGATACAGGAACATCAGGTTGTCAGGCTGGTTTGAACTTATGATCTGCCTGCGTCAGCCTCCCAAGGAGCTGGGATTACCCAGGCCGGGCTGTACAGTCCTCTCTTGGCTTCTAAGTTTCTCCCCCAACCTCTGATGTCCCAGGTCACTGAGTGGATGTCAGAAGTGATAAGTGGCGGTGGCTAAAATCTTCCCTTGCAATTCTACCCTGGAGCCTCAGTCAGGGTGTGGGAGAGAGAAGGGGAAGAGGGCGATGCCCCAGCAAAACCCCCCAGAGGTCAGGACTGCACCTTCTGACCCATAGCTTGGATTTCTCTTTTACAGAGAGGGATACTAACACCTTTGATAGCAAAGTGACATTCCCAAGGCCACCAAGCCAGTTAGTGGCAGAGCTGGGAATAACCTGTACAGTGTACCTCTGATTCTTTGTGGAGACAGAGACAGAGACAGAGACAGAGATAGACATAGACTCCCAGGAGTAGGGAGACCAAGGCAAGAGAACTGCTGCAGGTCTGGGCCCGGGCCAGGGTACATAGTGAGACCTCCTCTCAAACAAACAAACAAACTCCCCAAACAACAAAAAGTGAGTTTAATGGTCACAGAAATTCAAGTCATACAAACACAAAGATGCCACCCCTTGTCAGGAGCTAACTTTTAAATGTTTTTAAGGAACTGGGAAGGCAACATCCCCTGCTGTGCCCCGCGGTACAGGGTACACTGTCCTGAGGGCTGACCCAGACAGCCCTTGAGAGGCCACAGAGACTGGACAGCAGAGGGCGCCGCAGAGCCACAGGCCTGGCCCTCACTAAATCCCAGGGCCTCACACTTTCTTTTTTTTGTCTTTTTCCTTTTTATCGGTACTGGGGATCAAACTCACGACTGCCTGCTTGCAAGGCAGGCGCTTATGCCACTGAGCTAAATCCCCAGCCCCCGGACCTCACACTTTCTCAGAAGCCATGTGTCTTGGGTGATCTTTTGAGGCTTCAGGTACTCTGGGAGCTTAGAGCAATTTCTCTCCTTTTTTTCCTAGAAACCTGAGGGACATTTGAGAAGGTGTCACTAGAGGCCTTACCACTGGAGAATCCTGAGGACAGAAAACAAACATGGCCCCGCCCTTCAGGGTTTACAGTGTAGGAGGGAAGAGAGATTTTAGTCAAATCACCTGGAGCTTAGAGTGAAGAAAAGGCCCAAGCAGGCAAGCAGATCTCCCTGGAGTGAGGAGAAAGCACAATCTGTCTGTTTGTTTTTTGAGACAAGGTCTTGCTGTCTTGAACTCACTATGTGACCTCAAATTTACAGTGATCCTCCTGCCTCAGCCTCCCAAGTGCTGGGATTATAGGCATGTGCCACCACTCCTAGCTAGAAAGCTCAACCTGAACAGTGGGCAGGGTCTAATAAATGCAGGGAGGAGAAAAGGGACTCCCTTATGCAATGCCATCCTTGGGGGAAACTGCCACAGTTTCTCTCAAGTGCCCATGGGACAGTGGAGACAGACAAAGCACAGTCACAGAAAGGAGCAGTTGGATCACACAGGCACTACAGGCCTCTTTAAGGTCTCTTGTCTTTAGTGTAAGAGCAGTGAGAATGCCGAGCAGCTCTAAGTGCCGGCTGTCAACAGACTTGCATTTTGAGAAGATCCCTCTGGTGCTGGACTCAGCAGACTCCGGACTTTGTTCCCTCCTATGTACCTTTGGTTACAGAAGCTGCTAAATTCTGCGAGCTGATGCTTCCTTCTTATCTCTTGCAAATATTTCATATATGCCTCTCATAAATATCTCTTTCATATATGTCTTTCCTAAATATATATGTCTTTCATAAATATCTTCATATATTTCATATATGAATATATTTCATAAGTATATGTCATATATGTCTTTCATAAATATCTCAATATGTCTCTCCCTCGGGGGAGATTGCTGTGGGTTCCTAACTGGTTTCCCTGTCTTCTGTCTCTTCCAGGTCACAGCACTGTCTTTTTTTTTTTTGTACTGGGACTCGAACTCAGGACCTTACGCTTGCCAGGCAGGTGTGTGCTGCTGAGCTATATCCCTATCCACAAGCATCATCTTATTTGATCCTCAAACATCCCTGACACATAAGCAAAGATAAACCCTTCCTGAACTCTAGTGGTTCTATGGAGCAAGGTCATCCCAGCTTGTGAAAGTTAGTTGTTAAAACGTCCAAATTTTATAAGCCATTTTTAAACGTAGCCACTATTAAAAATCAAATTATGTAAACTTACAGGACTGGGGATGTCGCTTAGTCATAGAATATGCAAGGCCTGAAGATTGATTCCCAGTAGTGTGAAAAGTAAATGGCTGGGAATGGCGGTACCTCCCTGTGAAATGAGCACCTGGCAGGCCGAGGCAGGAGCATTACTGGGAGTGTGAGGCAAGCTTGGGATCCATACTGAGTTCAAGGCTCGTCTGAACTACATAGTGAGATCCTGCCTCTAAAAAGAAAAATTATAAATTATATTAAAATGAAGGTAATAGAAAAACATTTTTTGGTACAGAGAATCAAACTTGTGATCCCATGCTTGCCAGGCAGGTGCTTGTGCCACTGAGGTATATTTCCAGCCCAAATGCAATTTTTTTTTGTACTTGGGGGATGGAACTCATGACCTTGCACTTGGTCATGCAGGCACTTACCTTGCTGAGCTAAATCCCTGGTCCTAAACTCTTGAACTATCTGGTTCTAAATCCTAGTAATTTCCCCTATGCTCTTGGGATTATTTATGTCCATTGCATCTGCATGATTATCATTGTGTGTGTGTGTGTGTGTGTGTGTGTGTGTGTGTGTGTGTGTTCTGAGACAGGGTCTTGCTACTCAGCCCAAACTGACATCCAACTGACGCAGATCCACCTGTCTCAGCCTCTCCAGTGCTGCAATTACAGAAGTGTGCCACCATGCTTGGTGAATCTGCAGGCTTCACTTACCACATCACAAACAGTATGCTTCAGCTCATCTCCTAACTCTGTGTCTAGTAAGATCAGTTTAACTGATTGAAATCAGCTCCTGGGCAACTGCTACAAATCAGAACTTGATTTTTTTGTCTGCTTTGATCTGAGAAAGTGATGGAGACTATGCTAATTCAGATTTAAACATAGCTTAGCTATGTAAATAGCACAAAAATAAAGGGCATATCCTTCAGTATTTGATAACTTTTTTTTTTTTTTTTGGTCTTTTTCGTTTTTATCGGTACCAGGGATCAAACTCACGACTGCCTGCTTGCAAGGCAGGCGCTTATGCCGCTGAGCTAAATACCCAGCCCCAGGTAACTTGTTTTTTTAATTCAGTGGACAGGTTGCTCCCATTGTTGAGGATCCAGGTTGTCTTTGCTTTTCACTGTCCCTTTGCGTTAACAGAGGAAAATATCGACAAAAACTCTTGCCCCCTGGTCACATGACCAGTTTGGTTATCCATGTATTTGTCAAGGGCTGTGGATATAGACCAATAGCTGAGCTCAATCCTAGCAGGCGGGAGACCCTGGGTTGTTCCATTCCTAGCAACAGACAGACAGACAGACACACGAAATTCAGCGGTTTTTAAAACGTTCTTTGAGAATCAATGATAATGTAGTCATTGTTTTCATTATTTTTAAATTGTCCGTTACATATCCTTTGCAACAGTAAAACTGGTGCAAACGTAACACATATCGCATATTCCCCTTCCTCACCCAGAGAGCGGTTAGTAAGCACTTATCCCCCACCACGGGATCTAGAATACAGTGCTCATGTGGTCACTCCAGGGAGAAGATGCAGATTAACAAAATGACTCGGCTAAGGTCACACATCGTAAGCCGCAGAGACGAGACAAGAACTACAGACAGTCGCAAGACCAACAGATGTCTCCCAGGACCAGCCCGGATCTCCGGCCCGGCCCTACTTCGCTGCGGGGACAGCCCCAGCACGTGCACCCAGGAAGTAAAAAGCTGGGGTCGCTAGGGCAGAAGACAGACGCTCCAAGTCTCAGCCAATAGCGGCCCGGGGCGCTACGTCACGTGCAGTGGAGGCCGGCGCGAGCGCGCCCTGGGAGGGGCGTGAAGCCCTCCCGGAAGTGACGTTGTCTAGTGGGGCGGTCCGTGTCAGTGGCGGAGGTGGCGGCGGCGCGCGGCCTGGGGCTCGTGCTGGGCTCGGCGCGCCTCCCGCCCCCCTCTATGAAGCAAAAGCCGCGGCGGCCGTTAGTGCTGTCGCTTCGGGGACCGTGGCGGGCGGGGCTCTGGCGGCGCCCGGCCTAGTCCCCTCCCCAGCCCGGCTGTCACAGCCGTCCGCCCTCCCTCCCGCTCCCCGATGCAGGGGGCCGAGCTCCGGGATGGTGAGGCGGCGGCGGCGGCCGCTTCGTACCGAGTGCTGAGCCGCCTCCTGGGCTATGGAGAGGCGGCCCCCGAGCCGGGCCAGCCGCCGCCGCCACCTGGCCATGGACCCCCGCCACCGCCCTTCCTCGCGAGGCCCGGCCCCCGGGGCTCGCGGCCGCCCCAGCTGATGGTGTTCCGCAACGTGGGGCGGCCGCCGGAGGACGAGGACGCCGAGGCGGCGCCGGGCCCGGGACCAGCGGAGCTGCTGTGTCCGCGACACCGCTGCACCCTGGACCCCAAGGCCCTGCCGTCGGGCTTAGCGCTCGAGCGGGCCTGGGGCCCCGCAGCCGGACTGGAGGCGCAGCTGGCGGCCCTGGGGCTTGGGCAGCCGGCGGGCCCGGGAGGCAAGGCGGCGGGCGGGGGTTGCTGCCCCTGCCCCGCGCAGCCGCCTGCTCCTCAGCCCCCGCCGCCGGCCGCCGCCCTACAGGCCAGGGAGGACCCTACGGAGACGAGCGACGCGCTGCTTGTCCTGGAGGGCTTGGAGTCGGAGGCCGAGAGCCTGGAGACCAACAGCTGCTCGGAAGAGGAGCTCAGCAGCCCGGGCCGCGGAGGAGGGGGCGGCCGGCTGGTGCTGCAGCCCCCGGGACCTGATTTGCCCCCGGCTCCCTTCCCGCTGCAGGACTTTGTCCCTTCGGGCCGGCCGAGCCGAGCGGAGCAGCAGCTTCCTCCGCCGCCGCCGCCGCCCGCTGGGCCTCTCCGGCCTCTCGCGGGCCCCTCTCGGAAAGGCTCCTTCAAGATCCGCCTCAGCCGCCTCTTCCGTACGAAGAGCTGCAACGGCGGCTCGGGCGGCGGGGACGGGACCGGCAAGAGGCCTTCGGGAGAACTGGCCGCCTCCGCCGCGAGCCTCACCGACGTGGGATGCTCTGCGGGTCGGGAGGTGGACGTGGGGAGGTGAGACTGGCCGGGAGCTCGCGACAAGCTTGACTTTTATTTTTCCTTACCCACCCCACTTTTTTTTTTTCTTTCTTTCTTTCCTTTCTTTCTTTCTTGACTCCTAAGTCGATTCTGGCGATTTTTAAGACGGGGTCTTCGCGAGGAGGCAGAGGTGGGGACATCTCACATCAGATCAGAGTTAATTGTGGAAACAAGCTTTCACTCTTAGTTTACTTCAGGTGACTCTTCTCAGCTGGTTAGCATCTCCAGATTTGGTACACCTCACCTCTGCCCACTCCTGCCTTGGCTGTCTTTTTTAAGTTTTTCCAGAGTGTCCCTCCATCATTATTGGCCGTGCAGGAAATTGGCTGGAAATGTTTGGCCTTGGGAACAGAAAGCTGGTGGCCATCACCTTGTGTATTATCATGATAATACCTTCTCATTATTCTGTGTACCTGGGCCCCAGCCCTCCCACTACTGTGGACCACAAATGACCAGGAATATCTGCACTTAGAGGTCAGCATCCTGGGCATCTGCACTTTCCTGGTGGTTTCCTAACACACACTTGATGTCTCAAGCCTGTGTGCTTACCACTATCAGAACAGAAAATAGCTTTGATCTCAAGCCCATGCAAGGATTCTAAGTATTAGTGAAGTTTATGAATTCTAGGTCAGTTAATAAAAATTGCAAACTTAGATTTGAGTTTCCTGCAGCATTTCTGATATTTGACATTTAGGGTTAGGCCTGCAGTGTTGTAATAGAAAGCTGTCAGATTGTGTGTCAGTGAAATGAGACTTCTCTTGTTCCGAATGCTAGCGTGTTTTGTGTTCAGAATGGGTCCAGCATTGGTCCTGGTGTGGCTTGTGTGGAAGCTTGAAACCTGCGAAACTGTAGACCTACAGAGAGACTGCCTATGTGCCAGAGTCATTGGTGGGGGCTTCCAAAAGCTCAGTTTGTCCAGAGCTCAAGAATCTGAATTTTTAAAAGGCTCTCCAGTTGATTGCAGACTGTGAAGCACTCATGTGTGGAATTCCCTTCTTGAGGGAACTTGGGGACTCTGGGAGAAAAAGGTGGGACCGATGGCTTTGTTCCCCTTTCTGATCTGCTGTGTCAGGTTTATTTTGAGGATTGAATCAAACCCAAACTCCCCAAGGAAATCAGCGTGTGGCCTGTCAGGTGGGCCAGCATTTCTCCATTTGCCTCCAGATGAACTCATGCTGGGAGCTCTGGTCTTGAAAAGTGTGCGGCTGCTGAAACAGCCTTTATTGTGGTCGGCTTTGCATTTGATGCTCCACTTAGCAATCAGGAGAGTCTTCTCTGGTGGGGTGGGGGTGGGGGCAAGATTGACGCTGGGGGTAAGATAGATTGCTAATTTTTTTAGGGTTTCTCCTGCCTTTGTTCTGGTTTGACCAGGACTTGGTCTAAGATTCCAGAGATGCCAGATGCGAGGTGTGGTGTGAAATTAGCTGCTATGTCTAATGGATTAGGAAGAGGGAAAGGCATATAATGTTCTACGGGTTTTTTGCCTTGGGAAGCAGAATTTAATGGTCATTGGCTGCTCTGTCACCAGCCTTCACACTGAACACCATACAGCTTTCTGCTGCAGAGTGCGCAGGGCCCTTTCTCTGCAAAGGAGCTTAGTTTAGGGTGCTGGAGAATTACATTTTTTGGTCCAAGGGCTTTTTCTGCTGGTTGGAGAAGAGTGAGTTGTTTGTGCACTAGCGTGTGATGTAACTGCTGTTGGGAGGCAGTGTGTTGTGTGGTGGATGCGAAAGCCGAGGTGGCATTTGGAGCTCCGAATCCTCAGTGAAATGGAGGCTGGTTGGTCTTCATCACCTTTTCCTTCCTTACATCTGTAAAATGGGAGAGTGCTGGCTATCTTGTTCCTGTGTCATAGGACTAGGAACAAGACGAGAGATCTAAGTAGAATATTTTGTGCTTTTTGGAAGAGAAGTGGCACTGTTGAGCTGGTGGGTTTTTTTCCGAGCTTGGGATCTGCTGCTGCTTGTTAGCTTGCCTGCAGCTTACTGTGTGCCAGTCCCCTGGCAGCCGTGCAGCCATGAGGCACGGGCCACGTCTGGCCGGCACGCTTGTGACTTCTGAGGCTCTGCCCTCCTAAGCAGGTCCGCACTGGTAGGAGGAAGGATGAGTTGGGATTTTTCACTGGATCCCTTCTCTGGAGGGGTAAGACCTGCAAGCAGTGAGCCATTTCAGTCTTTTGCCTTCCTCCTCATTGTTGGTTAGGATTAATTATGGGCCTCTGCTGTGTAATTTGGGGCATTTACAGTAACCTCCAGGCACACTTCTCTTTGCTCCTGTTCATCACAGCTACCAGTGAGAAAATTCATCCTGTCATTGAAAGGCTCAGCAGTTTACCCATTTTAACACTGAAGCAGAGCTTGACATCTCTCAGATGCTTTTGAGTTCACAAAGTAGACATGCCTAGATGTCCTGCGTCTACAAGCACTGGGATTTAACTTAGAGAATGCTTTTTAACTAAAGTAAGACATAGGCCTGCCAACTAACCAAGTTTCTGTTCTGGGAACTGGGCTAGGCCTGGTACCACACATATGTCAGAATTCAGAGAGCTGGGCTTGATGCCCGTGGGCCTCTGTGTAATATAGAACTGTGCTATTTCGGGAAAACCGGTGGAGTTTCCTGGGCTGTTTCACATATGTCGAGCTGATTGTCTTCCTTTTGGATTTGGGGGAAAATAGCATTTGATCTGCCCTTATTGAATCATCACATAATGTGGAAAGGGGTACCTTGTTCATTTTCAAAATTTGTTTATAGACGAGTGTGGTGGTATACACCTATGATCCCCACACCCAGAAGGCTGAGGCAGGAGGGTTGCCAGCAGTTTGAGACCAGCCTAGTCTGTATTGTAACTTCAAGGCCAACCTGAATTACATAGCAGGACCCTGTCTCAAAAACAAAAACAAAACAACAAAATGAAAATAGGTTTATTTTCATTAACAGTCAAAGCTGTTCCTGGCAGGCTTCATAGTTTCGAGGTGGAGCAAAGGAGAACAGCTGCGAGGTGGTTTTCTGTTTGGGAGAAAGAGATGCAGTTTGGGCTAGGGAGGCCAGCTGCCTTGGCATGCGTGCGGGGCCCTGCTGTTCTGGACAGACCCGGCAAACAGGAGAAACACTTTTCACTCATTTCAGGGTCTTAGCTCCAAAGGAGTGTTTCTCTCAGAGCGTGACATGTTGAGAAAAAAACGGTTTTGTGTAGTGAGAAACGTGTGGATTTGGGGTCCACCCTCTGTTGATCTCTCTAACTATTTTTCTGCAAAGTGGTTGTGCTTGGCTGCTCTTTCGGAATGGGCTCCCTGCCTCTGGCAGTCTGTCTGTCCGCTGGAGCCCTGTGCCGCTTCCTCCTCACCTTTCCCTGGCCATCGTCATCTCTCAGGCTGGGAGCTTGGCCTGTGCCTGCCGGCTCCTCAGCTGCTTGGGGATGGAGCTGGATCTGACCTTGCTGCACAGATGTCTGTGTATTGGAACTAGAAACAAGCACATGGTTTTTGTGCCTACAGCACATGAGCAGACACTGACTGTGACATGCTGGAAATGGCACAGGCTGCCTGGCTTGGTACTGTGTGGGCTACCAAGGCCAGAGGTACACTGGGGCGACGAAACCTCACATGTGGCACCCTAGTTGAAAAGTAACCATAGAGGGAGTGTATATGTGCAAGCCTTGGGGCGTCAGCAGGAGCGGGAGGGCACTGCTATCTCATTGCTTATGCTTCAGGTTTTAAGGAATTTGAGCTCTGGCTAGCGCTCGCATGTAAGCAGCGCTGCCCTGTCTAGCCAAGTGCCTGTCACTCTTTTTGCCTCCTGAGTCTGTTGCATCATAGATACTAATTTGCAGTGTCTCTTCACCTGCAGCATAGGCAGTGACCGAGCTGATGCCCCAGAGACGAGCCTGCTGTCCCTGTTGTATTCTGTCACCAGGAGCATAGCCACCAAATCCTACCACTCATCCTGGCACTTGAAAGTTTGCCCTGTCTGAGAATGACAGGAGCCCCACTGCCAGGATATGGCAGCTTCAGTTTGCACCCCAGTGCTTGGTGAGGTGATGGGGGGGGGGCACATAAACAACATGGCAGTGTGGACTAGAGGAGTCACTTAAAACATGTCCCGGAGCTGCGTCATTCATGGAGCTCTCCATAAAGCAGGTCAGCTCAGAGTGGCATTTTATCATCCCAGGTGTCCCTCTGTGCCAGGGGGGTGGGGTGGGGGTAGAGGGGTAGGACCCACGCTCAGCCCTGTGCTTAGCAAGTGTGCGGAAGGCTACCAGTGCCATGGGACCTGGTGCCACTTCCTGGTTACGTTTCTTCCCTCCACTGGGGACCAGCATCCTCGATTTCACGTTAGTCCTTCCCTTGCTTTGTTTCCCTAATTCCCCCTAGATTGGTCATTTATGAGCGACTGCCATTAGGAAGCTTTTAGGTCTTCGAGGCAGAAACTGCTGCAGGTTGTTAGGCTGCCTCTCCCAAAGAGTGAGGACCATGCATTTTTTATTACCAGTCTCTCAGCCTCTTAGACCTTTTTTGCTTCACTTCCAGCCACAAGGCACTCTCATTTGCCAGGAAAAACCATCTTGTGGTTCTGCTTAGGTTTGGCCTCTGATGTTTGTCTTTCTGCAGATCCTAGAAACTGGTTTTCTTCAGACTGCCAGGGGCGGGCGTGTGCATTCGGACACCACCACTCCGGGGCTTGGCACCAGAGCCGGTACCTGCACAGGCAGATGGCACTGTGGTGCGGCTTGCTGGCAAGCAAGCAGGCAGCCAAGTGGCTGAGGTGTGAAGCTTCCCAGCACCGACTTTAGTGTCGCGCCCACAAGTGACCAAAGGGAAGTCATTGCAGAAGCTCTTGCTGTCTGGTGGATTCAGCATCCGTTCTTTTTTTTTTCAGTATCCGTTCTTGCCCTTGGGATTGTTGGTGCTCCGCCGCTGCTGTCACTTTGATCCCCAGAGGGACAGGTGTGGCTGTGCTGGGGGCATGTGCCACCGTTGGGCCTCTAGTCCAGCCTGGAGGATGCTGCAGGGAGGGTGATGGTGGGAAGCCAGATGCCAGCCCTTGCGCCTGTGGTTTGGGAGTTTTTGAATTTGGAGAAGCTCAAACACCTATGTCAAAATATAAACAGATATGCATCTTCCAGAGTCAAGTAATTGTAAATAGGATTTCATTTTGGATTTTCTTTTTGCTTTTATTCTCCTCCATTGGTACAGTTGATTCGTTAAAAAAAGTTTAGCATTTGTTTAGGCCTTCAAGTGAGGCTATTTTTAGGAGAGCCAGCTCTGATATGTAGAGTCATGTACCACAATACTGTAAGTACAGCCTTAATGCCTGGAGTCAGCTGGTCAATTCTCAGGTGGAATTGTTTTTTAAAAAATTTGTTTTATGCCAGGCATGGTGGTGCACACCTGTAATCCCAGCACTGGGATTAGTGCTGAAACAGGAGGATGGATTATTGTGAGTTCAAGACCAGCCTGAGCTATGAAGTAAGCTCAAGGCCAGCCTGAACTGTATAGTGAGACCCTGTCTCAAAAAGACGAAAGAAGTTTAATTTACTAAGGTATAATTTATTTGCTACAAAATTTCTCTCCTGTAAATGTCTAGTTCTGCTAGTCATCAGAACTTGGGTCTCACTCAGCTTGGAGCCCCACTCCATCACTTTACCAAGGCTCCCATGTAACTGCTTCAGTCACCCCAAGGTGTGTTTCTGTTTTTGGAGTCTGGCACATTCCTAGCCAGAAAGTCTGTAGGGGAGGTTTTTGGATTTCTTTCATTTCTTGCTGTCAAGCCAGTTGAAACTGGTACAAAGTGACATTCCCCTGAGTGTGTAATGAAAAGGAGATCAGGAAGGGGCTGTGGCTAGATGGGGCTGGTAGAGTGCTGGCTTGGCATGTGTGTGGCCCTGAGTTCCATCCCCAGGACAAGGCACACACACATGCACACACACACGGGCACTGTTATCCAACTTTTCAGTTGGTTCCTGGGGTCGCACAGTGCTGTGTGACTGGGGTTCCAAGCAGAGCCCCACCCCAGGTGGAGGCAGCCACCTATTAGTCATGGTCTTGACCTACACTTCAGGAGTGCGGAAATCAGGTCTCTGTGGGTTCAGGTGGTGGCTGCCTGGACCCCAGGCCTGGTGTTCCTGGGAGTCCCAGTGGAGGCCGCTGCGCCTGTGCCACCCTAGAACCTTTTTTTTCTTTTGACTCCCAAATGAAAATCAACTTTGTATCTGAGTTCCTTCTTGTGGTACACTTTCTGATTATTTTGATTACTTTTTGGGGTGTTGAACTTTTGTAGCTGCTGGATTTGGAGGGCCCCTAAGGGAGTTCTGATTTGGTAGGTTGGTAATTTAAGGAATCACCCTGATTATTTCCTCCTCTATCTGTTGGACTTTATTACAGGAGTGTGCCACACTGACTGGAGTGTGCTTTGTTTTCTGTGCGTCTGGAACTGTGTCGTAGCTCCTGAAATATAAGTGTCCGCACCTCCCATTCATTCTCTGTGTTCTTCCCCCCAGGAAACCCAGGTTGACGAGAACTCAAAGTGCCTTTTCTCCGGTCTCCTTCAGCCCCCTGTTCACAGGTAAGGGCTGCTCTGCTCTGTTCTTGTGTCAGACATCTGGAAGCAGGAGTGTTCTAAGACCTGTCAGACCTTTTAGGGACTCATTTTCTTAACTGGGAAGGGTCACAGTATTAGCTGATGAGCTACTCAGCCCTGGGTCAGAAAAAGGTATTAGAAGAATACTCTAAGGGCATAGGAGGAGAAAGCCTGGGCTCTGACCTGTGGCTCAACCCTGCCAGAACAAATCCTCCAGGCCATCAGCGCATTACCAAAATGCTGGAGACTCCCAGGAGGGCTCCTGGCCCATCTGCAGGCATTGCCCTCACTGTGCCCTGTGGGCTTGGGGTGAGGCAGTTTTTAGGGTGTGGAATGCTATTCTTGAGACATTGTAGGTGGGGAGCTGAGGGCCATTTGCTGGTAATTGAGTGTCCCTGGCAGTTACAAATCTGTAGTTCAGGGTCATCTCATGTAAATTAAAAGTAGGATTGCAAATTTATGGGCTCAGTATGCATAAGAGACCTTTGAAGTCATATATTTCCTGCCCCTGCTTCCAAGGGAGTTCATAGATTATCTAATAAAAATGATCCATGTACATCGGGTCTAATTTTAAAGACTTTGGGCAGGGGCCAGGGATTTAGCTCAGCGGCATAAGCACCTGCCTTTGCAAGCAGGCGGTCGTGAGTTCGATCCCCGGTACCAATAAAAAGGAAAAAAAGACCAAAAAAAAAAAAGAGACTTTGGGCAAAGGGGATTACCCATGCTTGCAGCTGTTAGGGCTCTTCGTGGTATCTAATTTAAGCCTTTCCTCTTCAGCGGGCACGCAGTTAGTAGTGGAGGAAGGCTGTTAAAGCCCTGTAGGTAGTGGGTAGCTGCCTTTTTCCCAGCAGTCAGACTGGGGATTGAGCCCTGTGCCTGATGCTGTGGGGCAGGGCTCTGCTGTTGAGCTGTACCCCCAGCCTTGCTTGCTTCATGGGGAATTTTCTCAGAGAGTGAGATGTCCCTCAGGGGACCATGAAGCTCCTGACTGAAACCAGAGGAAAGGGAGTCTTCTTCCACACTGCCCCAAGTCTCAGGAGACTGAGTACTATTGTTGGTTGTGACTGAGAAGCCTTTTTTAAAAATCCCACAGTCACTGAGCATGGAGGTGCATGCCTGTCATTCCAGCAGTCAGGAGGCTGAGGCAGGAGGATCATTGTGGGTTCAAGGCCAGCCTAAATTACATAGTGAGGCCCTGTCTCAAGCCCACCCCACCAAAAAACAAAACCCTAAAAATTCCACTGTTCCTCAAAAAGGTGATTGAAAGAGTTATGATTTGGGAAGGGAGATTTCCAGGGAAATGTGAAGCCAGTGAAGCTTCCAGCGTGGTAACCTGCAGCGGGGGCTGAGAACAAGTGAGTGGTCCCTGTGCAGATATCTGCTGGAGGGAGGAGCCTGGAGTGAGAGCCTTAGTCTTTGGCAACATGTTTTCCAGTGAGTAATTATTTTTTCCTTAAAGTGAGAAATTCAGCTTTGTAGTTTGAGGTTCAGCCTTGGCGCCCTTGAGCCGAGCCTTTGGTTTAAGTGCTGTGCCTATGACTGGGGCTTCTCTGACTTGTCGGTGTCACCACTGGCTGGCTCAGTGCACTGCTTGGGACAAGAGGGTCTCAGCTGCTGACCCTTCCGGTGCTTTACTCATGTCTTCTAGAACTTTCTGCATGTCTCTTTTTCTTTCCTTTTTTTGGCAGAACTAGGGCCCGAGCCCATGACCTTGAACATGTTGCCTGATTCTCTTTCAATGAGGTCCCCCCAGCTCTCTCATTTCCATTAGTGTTTAAGACCTTTGCAAAAAATTGCAGATTCTGTAAACCTAGCTCCTGGCCTTTTAGAGATGTTGGTTGCCTCATTGTTCCTTTGTTCGTGGGAAGCATTAAAATATTAACTTGGGGCTGGTTCAACCCTGGCTAAGAAAAAGGTATTGGCAATAACACCGCAAGGGCGGAGGCAGAGAAGCCTTGAGTTCTGACCTGCAGATCAGACTGCCAAAGTGAACATACTCCAAGCCCTCAGGTGGGGATGAAACATTTCTCATCCCCTGGAACTGACCTGGCAGGGGACAGGCGGACATGCCATGAATTACATGGCATGCTGGCGAGGGAGAGGAGCCACGCGCCGCTACTGCTGGTTCCCGTTACAAAGCTGCCTCCAAGCCTCGGACCTGTGGCTGACTGTGGAAGTTTTAGCCTTTAGGGTCGTGAGTGCACTTGCAGAGTTGGAGGTCTCCACTCTGATGAACTAACTTCCTTTAACATGCTCAGCAAGCACTCTACCCTGAGTCTACTTTATTTTCGAGAAAGGGTCTTGTTGCGTTGCTCAGGCTGGCCTTGAACTTGTATTTCTTCTCCTGTTTCAGCCCCCTGAGGAGCTAGGATTACAGATGCTGCCATGCCCTGCTAATTAACATCTTAGATAGTAGATTCTCTTTTAGGTGAATACTCTGGAAACTCTAGTTGGAGATAGTTGGCTAAGCTGATGCTGAAATCTGTGTCTGCATTCAGCCCACCCTGCAGTTCTCCCCATTTTCTGGCAGTTGATTTTTGCTGTCCCTTTGGCCTCACAAGCCACCTGCCTTGCTCCCCAAGGTAGAGGCAGGTGTGCAAGTTGTTAAAGACATAATGTGGCTTCCATTCGATAAAGAAGACCCACTGGGTTTGGGGCTGCAGGCCTTACTTGTGTAAGTCAGCGCAGAGCCAGCATTAGTTGGTCCCAGGTTTTTTCCCCACAAGAATACTTGGCCCTTGCCGGTGACTGAATGACTGCAGTTTAAACTGACTGCTCAGGGTGACTCCAGCCGACGAGCCCTGGATTCGGGCTCTGCCAGAGTCCTGCTCGAACCTCCCTTGCTTGCCCTCTGCTTCCCTCCACGCTTGGATGAGGGGCTTCGGTGACGCTTGCCTGTGCCTCCCCCAGGTGAAACTGTGTCGCTTGTGGACGTGGACATTTCTCAGCGGGGGCTGAGCTCCCCGCATCCTCCAACTCCCCCTCCTCCTCCGAGAAGAAGCCTCAGTCTCCTAGGTACTGTGTCCTCCCTCTGCTGCGGCACCTGGGCGGGAGGGGGCGCTCTGATCTCCCGTGGTGAAGCGGCACTTTTCTGTCCCTGGGGCCTGCACCTGTATGCGGCAGCACTGAGCTGAGCTTCCATTCTTGATTGGCTATCCATTCCCCTCGCCCTGGGTCTGTTGCCCTGGGCTCCCCTGTCTAAGCCGGGTGCCTCCAGGTGAAAAAACGGTGCAGGTCAGGCCAGCCCCCCAGAGGGCAGCCTGATGTGATGCCCGCTCCTTCTGCTTTGCCCTCTCCTCCCTGGCTCACTTTGAACGTTTGCTTTTGTTCTCTCTTCTAGATGATATCAGTGGGACGCTGCCGACATCTGTCCTGGTGGCTCCGATGGGGTCTTCCCTGCAGTCTTTCCCCCTTCCTCCGCCTCCTCCGCCCCATGCCCCAGGTTAGCGTAGCTTAGAGCAGGACTCGGGTGAAACCTAGTGAAATCACAGTCCTGGGAGAGAGCTTCTATCTCTCCCTCGGCTGGACCAGAGCTCCTTGGAAATGGGGCTGCGAACTGTTTTTTTCTAACCCATTTTCTTGTGGAGGTAAATCTGATTTTTCTCAGGAATAAAAGGCTACTGAGGTTTTCATCTTCCAATTGCTGAGACCGGACTGCCGATCCCTGAATTAGAGCTCACTTAGGAAATCGCCTTATTGCCAGGGTAGTGGGGGGCTCCCAGGGTCCCAGGCTTAGGGCTGTGTAATTCCTCTGGGCCGCCAGCGTACACTGCAGCTCTGTCAGTCAGTACTGAGCGCTCCGGTAGCCCGCACCTGCCTTGCCAACCTCCGGTTCCCAAGAGGTAATATGAGGGACATCGGCTTTCTTTCTACTTGCCTGGCAAAGTCTTTACCCTTCCCGGGCAAGTAAGCAAGTCACTGTTCCCAAGGCCGCCTTCCCGCGCTGCACTTGGAGGTGAGAGAAGTCGGCATCGCCCTAGGCTGGTGAAGGCCTGAATAGTCACCTTAGTCAGGTTAGTGCCAGTCGGCCTGGGCGGACGCCCGCCACCCTCACAGCTCACACGGCTTCCCTGTCACGGCTCACACGGCCACACGGCTTCTGTTCAGCCCATCCAGCTCCTCCTCACGGCTTTGGCTTCCACCGCTCCAGCTTAGCTTCTAATGCTTCACCCCTCTTCAGTTAGCATCTCTTTTTGGGGGCAGGTGTGCCTGGGGGGGAACAGTGGGAGCCAGTAAGTGACCCTGCCATCTCGCCCTACAGATGCGTTTCCCCGGGTTGTGCCCACCCGGGCTGCCGAGTCCCTGCACAACCAGCAGCCCCAGCATCTGCAGTGTGCCCTCTACCGGCCCGACTCCAGCAGCTTTGCTGCCAGCCTCCGAGAGCTGGAGAAGGTAGGTGGCACCCATGTCACGGTGCCCAGGGGTACTGCTCCAGGCCCCCAGGACTGTGTTTAGGAGAGCGTCATTTCCTGGCCTTTGTGTTCACAGCTGCAGTGAGCCACAGGTTAGGGGGGAGGCCACACAGTGAAGGTGGGCGACTTCTGTAGCTTACCTCATGCAGGTCTCTTCACGGGGCCCTTGGGAATGGGGCCCAGAATTGTAGAACTTCAGTTACCCTGAGGAACTAATGACACAGGGATCCTGGGGTTCACTGCCCATGGTTGAGACCCTAGGAGTAGCCTTCCCCTATTCAGATGGGGTAGGGTGGGGCCCCTGGGGTGGGGCCCCCCCAGGAGGGTGGACTGTGCCCACAACCTTGCCCCTTCCCCACTCTGTTTACTCCCTGCCATATCCTGCCTTTGACAGTGTGGTTGGTACTGGGGCCCCATGAACTGGGAGGATGCGGAGATGAAGCTGAAGGGGAAGCCGGATGGTTCTTTCCTGGTGCGAGACAGCTCTGATCCTCGGTACATCCTGAGCCTCAGTTTCCGGTCCCAGGGTATCACCCACCACACCAGGATGGAGCACTACCGAGGTGAGGGTACTGGCTGCTCCCTAAGCCCTTCCCTGTCCCTGTCTCAGAAGGGTGCTGTGGCATAGAGGAGGAGTGGAGGGGTGGGGGTGCTCCATCCGCAAGACACCTCCTGAACGGGTATGGGCAGAAGCGTCACAGATGCCAAGCTGCATTCAGAACTAACCAGGCATTCGGGGATCCTGCGAGTGCCCTGTCCTGGCTCTCTGTGCTGGTCCAGACAGCACAGTGTGTGGTGACAGTTTCCTGTCCCACTTGATCAGCTTTGTCGTCTCAGGAAGGAGTTACCAGGATGCTGCGGGTGGGTGAGGTCAGTGCCTGAGCCCTGCTCTGTCCTAGCAGTGCTGCTTGGTCTGTGACACTGGATTGAGCGCAGCTCTCTGGATTGGGTTCGAATTGCGCCATTCTGATTGACTTGGGTCAGAAACTCTGCTGGTCTTTGGTAGCAGGGCAGCAAATACCTCTTCTGTCAGGGTCCCTGCGTAAAGTAGCAGAGCAGAAGCCCAGAGGATTGGGGTCGTTTCAGGGCTGGCCCTCGGGCCTTGGCAGGCTTTGCCTGGGTGCCTCCCTTACTTGGGAGAGCTCTGCCCAGCTTCCTGCAGGCACTGGTGCCTTTCCCACCTCAGCTCCTATTTGCAGACGGCTCTTCCAGACAGGAAGTGGCCGTGCAGGTCAGGGTCATTTGGGCCGTGGTTTCTTGTGCCCTGCTCAGCTTAGGGATATGTGAAGAGAAAGGCACTTGCGTTCAGAGACCTGAGAACTGGGGAAGCTGCCCATTTTCCTCCAGTCCTAAAATCCAGAGTTAAACAGGCCAAGCCAAAAGTGCAAAGCAAAGCATTTTCGGGTGAAGCATTTCGTTAAACCTGTGAAAGTGATGTGCGGCTGGGTGGTAGGAGCAGGGGTGGTGCTCGGCCTGAGGTTGTTGGTGGGTGAGTGGCCAGGAGTGAGCGTCCTTTCCAGGGTTCTCCAGTTACTTTTCACTCAGGGACTTCTCTTCCTCCAGTCAATGGAGTTTGTAATGGAAGGCCTGTGGGCTTCGAGCAGCCAGTTTGCACTGGACGTTTGTCTTCTCTTTCTAAATGATGCTTAGGATAATGCCCTAAGGGCAGTGGAGAGACTGGAGCCTGCAGCTCTGCGTCCTTTGCTGGCAATTCTCTCAGGATATGCTATTTAGTGTTTGCAGTTGTCTGTGTTGCTTAGGTAAGGGCTGTTTGGAGTCCCTTCTGCCTCTGAGAGGCTCAGGTTTGAGGTAGGAACTTGGTGCCATGTTGGGCAAGGCCTTCAGAAGCTAAAGAAGGAAAGGCAGAAGGCTTCTGTGCCAGGCACAGTGAATGCGCGAGGCCAGGGCACTGCTGAGTCTGTATCGCCCTTGCCTGTTTTGTGAATGCTTGAAACCTTGAGTCTTCTCCCGGTGTTGCAGTAGCCCGCTTCGCTGTGGTAGCCGTTCTTCCCTTCTCTACGTGTGTGCGTGTGTGTGCATGTGTGTGCACGTGTGTGTATATGTATAAGGAGAGTATGACAGTGATTCATACACTCGACAGAATCTTTTTATGTTTTTTTCTGACTTACATTTATTATTTATTATTTATTAAATGAAAATATTTGAAGACCTCGTTTATGTCTTACTCAATCGAGGTGCCATCCTTCTTCCCATTGATTGCGGGATAAACAGAACAAGTGGCTTGGGTACTTGGACCTAGTGTGCCCACAAATGGCTCTCCCCAGAACCGGGGTCCTTGTCCCACCCTCCTGAGTAACTGTATTCATTTTCTACGCAGGAACCTTCAGCCTGTGGTGCCATCCCAAGTTTGAGGACCGCTGTCAGTCCGTGGTGGAGTTCATCAAGAGAGCCATCATGCACTCCAAGAACGGGAAGTTCCTCTACTTCCTGAGATCCAGAGTTCCAGGTAAGGCTGTGGGTACATTCACTGTGTCACACGCCATGGGTGTAGTGTCCCTGCTTCCTTGAAGTTTGCTCCTGGCTGTTAGAGCAGCTGCCCTTCCTGTGAGGCCTGCACCCTGGGGGAAGCCATGGTTTCCTCCTCGCTGATGACCAGGCCATCATGCTGCTGCACGCATCTCAAAGCTTCGAGTGAGGCCAGCAGTGAGCACTTGCAGTGCAGATGTGCGTGCCAGTCCTCCGGGCTGCTGTGACCACGCAGGGCTGTGGAGGTTTCTGTTTCACCTCCCTCCCGGCGGTTGCTGCACATACAGACCTCTCGACCTCTCTCCCCTGGGCGTCTGTCCGAGGCTGGCTGAGACTCTGCCTGCTCAGGAAGGTGTTACTGTCATCTCCGGTAGAGTGCCTGCTCTCTAGTGTTGGGCAAAGTGCAGTGAGGGGCACAATGGTGTGAGGAACTTGATCTGAGAACTCTTTTTTTTTTTTTTTGTCTTTTTCGTTTTTATCAGTACCGGGGATCGAACTCACGACTGCCTGCTTGCAAGGCAGGTGCTTATGCCACTGAGCTAAATTCCCAGCCCCGATCTGAGAACTCTTGAGCCTCCCCCTGAACCAAATTCAGATTCTTAAGAATTCAGATTCTTAAGCTGAGGCAGAAGTGTTGCTCTGAGAGGTGAGAGTTTACCAGGAGCCCTCAGGCAGAGCTTTGGGTGCAGGACTGGGCCAGGTGACAGGAGTGTGTAACAGGGAGTGTGTGGCAGTGACAGATAAGGCAGGGGTCACTCTGCTTGGGCACAAACCAGGTGATGTCATGGAGGATACTGGACTCCAGCCTCTCTCTGCTTGCAGAGCCAGGGCTTCTTGGACCCCTCATCTGCTCTGCAGATGTGTCCCACCAGGAACCCAACCAGATTCTGCATGCTGGGCTGCAACCTCCCCTTGTCCACTCACTGTTTTGAGACAGGGTCTCCCTAAGTTGCTAAGCTGCTCAAACTAGCCTTAAACTTCCACCTTTATGCTCTGCCTCCTGTACTGCTGGGATTACAGGTGTGTGCCTCTGCACCTGACTGGTTTGTAGAAATTTTAAATTGGAGTAAGGATGGCACTTGTAATATTTGCTCCTATTAACAACTAACATTGAGTACCTGACATGTGCCAGGTACTTGATTAGGTTCTTTGTTTTGTTATATTTTGTTTTTTTTTTTTAAATTTGGAGATAGAGTTCGGTAAATTCCCAGACTGGGTGCAAATTTATAATCTTCTTGTTTTAGCACCTAGAGTGCCACACCCTGCTACTTTAGAGTCTTGATTTAAGTGTCTCTGGTCTCTTTCAGCAACCTCAAAAAACAGCCTGGGCTGTTACACATGCCTGTAATCCCAGCACTTGGGAGGCTAAAGTAGGAGGATCACCATGAGTTTGAGGCCAGCCTAGGCCATGTAGTGAGTTCTGGGCAGCCTGAACTACGTGAGACCCTGTCTTTAAAAAAAAAAAACAAAAAACAAAAAACTAAAGGCCAAAAAACCAGATAAAGCTATTTTAGTGAGATGAACCGAGCCAAGGCTGAAAGGCTAAGACCCTCGCTCTGAAGGTAACTTAGCCATGGTGTCTGAGGCAGCTCTGAACCTGGGCCTGATTTCCACCTGCTCAGCACCACTGCTGGGAAGTGGGTGTCTCTGTCTTCAGGCTGCAGAGTCAAGCGTTACAGGGCTCCCCTCCTTGCTCTGCCTGAGTGACCCCTCCAGCAGCTTGGCTTGCATCTGCAGTTGAACTCACACCTGTGATTTCCTACTGGAGTGTATTTAGCGTGCACCCATCACCCTCCCAACAGCCATGGCCCACAGCCTCACGTACCTGCCTGCCCTTCCTTGCACGCTAGTCTCCGGGTAAAAGTGTGCTCTGTCCAGACGTGACACACGTGTGCGCGGGTTAATGCTCACGAACTCTCCTCATTCCCTGGGAGCAAACCCCGGGTATCATCTGTAAATAGTACAGTAGGTTTCTCTTAATTACTTAAAAACAAAATAAAACTAATTTTAAAGCTGGGCTTAGGGCACACACTTGTAACCCTAGGACTTGCAGTGTGTATAGATTTATAGAAAAGTCCTGGAGTACAGAGCTGCCTATACCCCCATTGCCATTTCTCCTACTGCTGCTGATGCTCCCACTGTATGGTACGTCTGTCACAGTGGAATGGCCGTCATTAAAGCACTGTTACTAACTAACAGCCGGGCTAGAGTCAAGTTTTCTTTTTACCTAAAACCTCCCTCGTTTCAGAACCCACCCGGGTTACCGCACTGGGTTCAGTTCATCTCCTTAGGGAGGTGCCACTGTGAAGAGTGTGCTTGTGATACCATTTCACACCTAAAAAGTGCGCAGTGAATCCTTAATTTCAGTATTTGGTCCACACTCAAACACACACTAACGTTTCCTCGAGTCTTGTAGCTGTTTTGTTTTTTTTTTTTTTTTGGTACTGGGGAAGGTGCTTATGCCACTGAGTTAAATCCTCGGCCCAAGTCTTGTAGCTGTCTTAACCCCTATCTTTAGCTCTGGACCGGTGTAGACTCATGCAGCCCCGGGAACCAGTGGCAGTGCCCTTGTGCATGCCTCACCATCTCACATGCAGCCCCGGGAACCAGTGGCAGTGCCCTTGTGCATGCCTCACCATCTCCACGGTGCCGCGCCCCACCTCCACTCCCCCACCACTGCCTTGTGAAATCACTAACGGGAAGGATTTCATACTGTGTGGTGCCTCTCCCTGAACTACAGACCTTTTCCACGTCTTAACCACTTTTCTGCTAATGTGTCTTTTCTGGAAGCTAGTGAAGGAGCACTGCAGAGACCTGATGGCTCCCCTCAGCACACCCGGGCAGGTCACCCCAGTATGTGTCAGTGGCTTGGTAGTGCTGATAGGAACTTTGATCACCTTGTAAGGTTTGGCATTCTTTTTTCGCTGGCCATACCAGGGGTTTCACCCATTGGCCTTCCCTCTAAACTACATCCCCAACATTTTTCACTTGAGACAGAATGTTAAAATGAGTAGGTTGTTCAGGCCGGGCTTGAATTTTCAATCTTCCTGCATCAGCCTCCTGATGTACTTCATCCTTTTAGCAAAACTATCTAGGAAGTGTTTCTCCTGCCTGTGGGAAACAATGTCCAGTCCTGTTTCTTTGATCTTAGCAGCCCTTTGTTAGAGGTGGCAAAAAAAATCACTTTATTTTTATTATTAGATTGAGTTTTGTTTTTGAGGTAGAATTTTACTGTTTTGTCCAGGCTAGACTCAAACTCCTGGGCTCAAGTGATCCTCCTGCCTCAGCCTCTGAAGTAACCGGAACTATTGGGAAGAGCTATTGTACTCAGCTCTTAGCCTGAGTAATTCTGTGGAGACATTTCTTGTCATCTGATTTGTGTGCTGGGTTTATTTTTTTTTCTTTTCTTTCTTTCTTTTTTTTTTTTTTTTGTCTTTTTCTTTTTTATCAGTACCAGGGATCGAACTCACGACTATCTGCTTGCAAGGCAGGTGCTTATGCCGCTGAGCTAAATCCCCAGCCCCTGTGTGCCGGTTTATATGGCAGACACATGCTTGACTCTGTCCCTTTCCATCAGGATACCATCAGGAGCCAATGGGTGCTGTGTTATGGATCTGGCGTGTCCCCCACAGCCCGTGTGTCACAAGCTTAGTCGCCAGCCTGTGGCCCTGATGGGAGGCAGGCTTGGAGGAAGTCGGGAACTGGGTGTCCCTTGAGGAGAACCCCAAGCCCCTCTTTGTCTCTGCCTCCTGGGTGCTAGGCAGTGAGCACCTCCCATGGCGTGGACAGACCCTCGAGGCTGAGCCCACTGCTCACCACACGCTGACCCCTTGGCGTCTGTCCAGTGTGGAAGGCCACTGCCCCAGTGGGCTTGGCCCATTTCCCTCCACTTCTGGGCCCGGCTGCCCCATCTTTGGCTTGAAGCAGCCTTGTGTTGGTGTGTTTCCCTCTCCTGCCTGTTTCCTTCTTCACTGGGGGGTAATTCATGTCACGTAAAATTCACCTATTCATCTGCTACAGCGGAGGACCCTGCAATCCCAGCTACTAGGAAGGCTGGGGGAGGAGGGTCCTAAGCTTGAGGCCACCTGGACGCCTCATGGAGACCCTGTCGATAAACAGGACTGGATGTGGTCAAATTGGGGAGCCTTGTCTAGTCAGTCTGGGGGCCTAGCTGCTGTCTGGCACTGGGGAAACCCCTAGCCCACCTCCTGAAAGTGTGCGATTCAGAGGTTTTCTGTCTTTCTTTGTTTTTTGAGACAAGGTCTCAGTTTATTGTGTCGTCTAGGCTGGCCTTGGACTCAGTGATGGTCCTGCCTCTGAGGGCTGGGATGACAGGTGTGTGCCACTGTACCTTGTGTGCCATAATTTTTTTTTTTTTTTGGTACCAAGGATTGAGCTCACGACCTCGTGCTTGCCAGGCAGGCGCTTGTGCCGCTGAGCTAAATCCCTGGCCTTGCCATAAGTTTTGAAATCAAGAAATGTGAATACACTGTGCTTTTTCTAGATTATTTTGAGTCCCTCGTATTTCCATATGAATTTTTGGATCAGTTTGTCAATTTTATTTTATTTTTTTGTACCAGAAATCAAACTTAGGATCTCATGCTTGCCAGGCAGGTGCTTATACCACTGAGCTAAATCCCCAGCCTGTTTTGTCAATTTATTAAAAGAAGCCACCTGGGATTTTGATAGACCTTGGGTTGTGTCTGTGTGTCATTGTGAGGAGCATTAACAATATTAAATCTTCTGACCCATGAAGATGGGGTGTTTTTCTTGTTTGGCTTTCTTGTAACTCGGGATTGAACCCAAGCCCTTCACACTGAGCTCCATCTGCAGCCCGTTTTAACTCTGAGTCAGGATCTCCCCAGTTCTCACTGTGAAACCCAATTGTCACCCAACTCATGGCGATCCTGCTTCAGCCTCCCGAGGCCTGCAGTCACAGTCATGAACCACCACACCCACCTGTGTTTCTTTTTAAATTGTGAAAGTAACGCGGGGTGAGAAGGCCTAAGCCTGTGGGGTTTGAGAGGGAGAAGGAACCCTCTGCCCCCCACTATCCCCACTCCCTAGAAGCACGTGGCTCGGGCCAGGGAGGGCCGGCGGTACTGTGCACAGCTCAGACTGTGACGCCGGAACCTGTGCCTCTTTTTCCTCCTTGAAATATTTCAGGAAGGCTTCCAGCCTCTCGGTAATGCCCTTCACACTTTCTTTTTTGGTCTTTTTCCTTTTTATTGGTACTGGGGGTCGAACTCACGACTGCCTGCTTGCAAGGCAGGTGCTTATGCCGCTGAGCTAAATCCCCAGTCCGCCCTTCACACTTTGAAGAACATGGGGCCTGGGCCATGACTAGTACGTAAGGTTCCTGATGTGATTCTGGTCTTCGGGGACAGAAAGGCTGGGACATCTGGGGTGCTCACACCAGGAGCAGTTTCTATCCCAACCTGGTCCTTGTGGGGAGGAGAACATGGGGACGTGGCTGGAACTGGGTCTGTGCCCAGAAGCCCTGGCGAGATGTGAGCTGAGGTTGCTGGCCATCCCCTCTCTGCCCCGTAGCACATTTCTTCCCACCTGACTGCTTCTCTCCATGTGGGGAAATGGGACAGGAGTAGCAGAAGCTTGACAGGTTTCCAGTTGCTGTGAATCCTGAGGCTCAAGTAGCACGAGCAGAGCCCGTGCGCGGGGCGGTCAGGAGCCCGGGCCCAGGCCAGCAGCTATGGAAGTGGCTCCTGTCTCCTGCACCGGCCCCGAGAAGCCATTGATCCTGACTTCATTTACTGAGGCATGCAGGAACACCACTCACGAAAGAACAAAGACAGAGAGCCGTCTGAACCCAAACCAGCCAAGTGAAATAGAGTCAAGAGTGAAAATTGTACATAGCAAATTTATTTACTTGTTTGTCTTTGAGACAGGGTCCCACTATGCAGTTCAGGCTGGCCTTGAGTTCATTTCATAGCCCAGGCTGATCTTGAACTCCCAAAGATCCTTCTGCCTCAGCCTCCTGAGTGCTGGGACCACAGGCCTACGCCACCACACCTGGGGTGCTGTGGGCCGCAGTGGCCATGGGAGTGACAGGGAAGGGATGAGGGCCTCTTGGCGGCCAGAGCTGAGGGGACCCTGGAGGAGCGGATGTGTCTCTGGTTAGGTTGTCACTGCTCCGGGGCAGGTGTGGCGGTGCTGTGGGCTCTAGAGTGTTTGCCTCTAAGTGTAGTGAGTTAAGTGCTTTTAAAGATGAGCAAATATGTGGGCTTGCTGGATCAGAGGCTTGGGCTTGCCTGGCAGGCGCAGGTTGCCCTTGAGCTGACTCCTAGCCCTTAGGTAAGGTTTTGTTTGCTGAGAAAGCCAGTTGTCAGCAGCCATGGGAAGCCTTGGGGAAGCAATCTGCAAGCCTTTTTTCCTTCTCACACCTTCAAACCCAATCTTGCTTCCTTTCTTCCTTCTTTCTTTCTTTTTGTACCAGGGATTGAACCCAGGACCTTGCCCTAGCCAGGCAAACACATATTCAAACACAGGTTTCAAACTGTTTGAAATCAGCCCCAGTAGCATGGATATTTCCAACTAATTTTGTCCATAGAATTTCATTTGCACTGACAGTCCAAGAAGAGAATCTTTCAAAGATTTTCCATTTCAGGTTTTTCCTCCCAGTAGTGTGGCTTGTTTACCTTCTGCTGTGCTCTTGGGTATTGAAACCAAGAGGTTCCCAGTGTCTTTGCACTGGTTCAGTGTTGCCTGCTGTTCCTGGTGGGTATCTGTCCTGAGCTGCTGCAGATGCCATTCTTTTTTTTTTTTTTTTTTTTTTTTTGTCTTTTTCATTTTTATCGGTACCAGGGATCGAACTCACGACCGCCTGCTTGCAAGGCAGGTGCTTATGCCGCTGAGCTAAATCTCCAGCCCCGCAGATGCCATTCTTTTAGGAGCATCCTCTAGAGCCAGGTGTGGTGGCACATTCCTGTCACCCCAGCACTTGGCAGGCTGAAGCAGGAGGGTCCCAAGAGTTCAAGGCCAGTCTGTGCTATATAGTGAGTTCAACGCCGGCCTGAACTCTAAGAGTGAAACCCTGTCAAAAGAAAAGAAAAAAAAAAGCACCCCCTAGTTTGATATGGGTGCTACAAGCCTGTAATCACAGCACTCAGGAGGCTAAGGCAGGAGGGTCATGGTGAGTTTGAGGTTGTACCCTGTCTCAAAAAACCCACCAGAATGGTGCCAGGGAGACCGCGCAGAACTAATTCCCTTGAACGTGGAATCTGTAGTCGCCTTCTGTCGGAGGAAAGCAGCACAGAACCCACCATGCACCATGAGGAGACTCCTGAACGTTGCCCTTGTTCCCCCCAAGGCCTGCCTCCAACTCCGGTTCAGCTGCTCTACCCTGTGTCCAGATTCAGCAACGTCAAATCTCTCCAGCACCTGTGCCGATTCCGGATCCGACAGCTTGTACGCATAGATCACATCCCGGATCTCCCACTGCCCAAGTATGACGGTCAGGGGTCTGGGTCACGGGGCGGGGGGGGGGGGGCGCGGAGTGCAGCACTGCAGGTCTGGAGGGAGTGTCTTCCTGTGCTTGGAGGCCGCAGGGAGCAGGGAGCAGGGTGCCCTGGCTGAGGGACAGCAGATGGCACAGCAGAGGTCCCAGGCATGGCCTCAGCATGAGGGAATGCAGAGGGAAGGGCATTTCTCTGCTTTCTGTGCAGGGGCTACTTAGTGTCTCCCGTTTGTTTGTATTTGTTTTTCACAGACCTCTAATCTCCTACATTCGGAAGTTCTACTACTACGATCCTCAGGAGGAGGTGTACCTTTCTCTGAAGGAAGCGCAGCTCGTCTCCAAACAGAAGCAAGAGGCGGAACCCTCCACGTAGCTCGGCCCGGCCAGTGGCTACCACAGGTAGGACCTGGGGTTGGTTTTGAGCCCTGCCCACCCCTGCAGCCTCTTGTAGCGTCTGCTGGGGAGTCACAGAGGTGTCAGGACGCCTGGGTGCAGCTCCTTTAGGAGGAGGCAACAGACGCACAGGCTTCACATTTGCCAAGCTGAGGTTGAGGCAAGGTGATCAGAAGTTCACAGCCAATCTGGGAATTCAGCAAGACCCCATCTCAACATTTAAAAAAGGCTGCCAGACATGGTGGTTGCACACCTGTAACCCCAGCACGCGGGAGGCTGAGGCAGGAAGGGTGATCATGGATTCAAGGTCAGCCTGGGTTACATAGTGAGACTGTCTCAAAAGTCAGCAACACAGTAAGAATTTTTAAAAGGGGATTGGGGGTTGGGATATACTGCCAGAAAAAAAAAAAAGTTGTCAAGCCTTGTGCAAGCCAATGACTAGTGTAAGTGGGGGGAGAACAGGGCAGGGAGGCTTAAGTGTGCACGTGCTCCTCTTGCCTCAATGATCTCGCCCTCTTTGTGGTTTTTGGTTTGGTTTTCTCTTTTTGCGACAGGGTCTCACTATGCACTCCAGGCTGGCCTTGGGCTCACTTTGCAGCCCAGCTGACTTTGAACTCAGTGGTTCTCCTGCTTCAGCCTCCCAAGTGCTGGAATGACAGGCGTGAGTCGCCACACTCAGCGTCACCAGGGGCACGCAGACCTGTCTTGTACCTCGAGCAGCATTTGTGTCCATCCAAGCACCACCTAGTGGGCACTGCATGCTGGCGGTGACCCTGTCTTAGTGTGGCCTTCTCCACTAACTTCTTTTTTTTTTTTTTTTTTTTTTTTTTACTAACTTCTTTTTTAAAATCCATTTTTTATAGGTACTTTTTTTTTTTTTTTTTTGTCTTTTTCATTTTTATCGGTACCGGCGATCGAACTTACGACTGCCTGCTTGCAAGGCAGGTGCTTATGCCGCTGAGCTAAATTTCCAGCCCCTTAAAATCCACTTTATTTAAACATAAAAAGAAAGAAAAAAATCTGCTAGCTTCTGCTGTGTCTCTCCTGCGTTTTGGCTTTGCGATGTTAATGACAGAAGTTTTCCCTTTCTCCCTAGGCTTTTGTTGTCCAGCTCTGGTCTGAAGACCCCGCGGAGTGAGCAGAGGAGGAGGGGACGGGAGGGCCTGGCCTGGAGGCAGCGCAGCCATGGCTGTCGGGGTGGCGCAGCGCCCTCCGGTGTGTGGATAGCGGGCTCTGGAGGCCTGAGGAAGTCCCAATGCTGTTTCTTTTCAGAAGTTTCGTTTTTAATCTTTGTCTCGGTGTGGAAGACTCCTGCTATAGGCAGCCTGGCTCTGTGCCGGTTGAGCAGGGGTCGTTGCAGGACTTGAGTCCCCCAGGAAGGTGACAGTCTCCGCGCCATGTCCCCGGGGCAGGGGAGCAAGCTGCCAGCGCCGTCCATACTGGAGGAATGCACGCCTCTGTTCAGTTTCTTCAAGGCTTTGGAACCAAATTTGAGAAAAGCCTTCGAGGAGGCTGTGTCAGCTTGTTTACCTGAATTCCGTGGGCCCTGAGCCCTGAACTCAGCCATTCTGCCTCCATCCTGAGGCAGGTTTCCCGGAGGAGTCAGGCACAGTAGTCCCCGCTGTCACAGTGTGGGTGTTTTCTCATCCCCAGCCATCCCTGCTGGCTGCCTGGGGTTCCCCATGCCAAACCCATATCTGCCCCCCCTTCCCTGGGGTGCCTCCAGGGTCCCAAGTCCAGCAGAAGAGCACGGCTCATCTCATCAGTATTTCAGGTTCCCACCATCACCCCGCCCTGGGGGAGATGGCAAGGGCTGCCTCCTTCCCTGCTTCCTGCCAGCCCCAGCCCTTTCTGGACCACCCTGCTGCCCTCCCTCCGCCGGGGCCTGGGAGATGCCTTGTGAGGTCCCTGTGGCAGACCAGGAGCTCGGGGCTTCTTAGTGGCCTTTGCTCCTGCAGCCGCCATGGCTAGCACTGTGGCACTGGTGTGTGCGCTGCTGAGGGACTGCTGGTGACAGGCGTGCTGTGGTGCTTGCTGGCCTGCTGCCCAGTGTCTGAGACTGCCACTGCGGGACCCGAAGCTCACAGCTGCCTGAGCTCACTGGATCAGCAACACCAGCGACACTATTGGGTCTAGGAGCAGAGCTGTGTCCTGCTCACCTCCAGGACTCCAGCCCTACATTGAGCACTGAGCAGAGGTCCCGGCCTCGTGACCGGGCTGTGAAGAAACAGCCAGAGAGAGCTTTGCAGGAACGGAACCCACTTCCATGGTGCTTGGCCCTCTTTGGGCAGAGAGACCCCAGAGAGGTCCTTCATGTCTGCGGAAGGTGCCGCCCCACCTTGGAGCTGCCGGCCTGGCCTCCTTTCAGCCCTCAGGCAGATTGGCAACCACCCCTGAGTATTTTATGTGCACATGTTTGGCTCCGGACTGGATGCTGTGGCTACCAGGCAGAAGGTTCAATTGCTGGCCGGAGGGGAGCTTGAGCGTGAGTGCTGCACACGAAGTCCCTGCAGGGCGCTGGTGGCAGCTGAGCAAGGACTGGTGAGGACGGTTGGAGTGGGTGAGCTCAGAGACTAGATGGTCTGGAAGCTCCAGTGATGCAGTTCGGGCGTAGGAGGGCAACGAGGCAAGGAGCACTGATGGAGCCAGAAGGCGGGATGGCCTCAGCCCCCGGGCTGGGCCTAGGCTTCTTCGGAGAATCCACAGGCTCAGGAACAAAAGCAGAGCAGCAGCCAGGGTGTGGCCAGGGCCCTGTCACCTGCTCCGTGCTGGAACCTTTCCAGGGAGCCCGGGACTGTGGGTGGCCGGGGGGTAGGGGGAGCTGCCCCGCAGGGCCTCTGTCCTCACCAGGGCTGCTTCGTCACCATGCAGGAGCTCACTGTAGGTGTCCAGGCGTGATATGTACCCTGCCCTGCTCGTGTAACCTACAGGTCACCCAGCTGCTGGGGCCCCGGGTTGCTGTGGCTGCTGCTGTAGCCTGCTGTCACCTGAAATGTGGTGCTAAGTGAGGAGGGCAGGAGTGTGGATGCTGGGGACTAGGTCAGAGGGTGACAGTTGGCCTTTAAAGGGTGGGGGACCACTGGCATGTGGTCTGGTCCCCCGCCCGCCCCTGTGGAGCTGAGCTACCTCCCCTCCCTTTCCCCCTTGGGTGGGTGGCGGTGCCTTGGGGAAGCACCCACAGGGAGGAGAAGTGGCCCGAGGCCACAGGAGCTGGGAGTGCCACAGGGTGGGCTCCAGCCCTCCTGAGCCCCAGAGCATGGCTGCGCGTGTCCTCTGGCTTGCGGAAGTCCTGCTCCAGTCCAGTGCCCAGGGAGCCTGGTTTGTTCCCAGTGCTGAGAGAGAGCTGTGCCCCTCGCCTGGCCCGGGCTTTGGCGTTAGACGTTTTCCCTATGGGAATCCTCTGGGTGGCCTGTGGGAGGGGTGGATGGGTGGTTTTGGTCTCTATTGTCCACGCAGCTGTCCTCACACTGAACTGTGCTATTGCATACACGTAGGCATCTTTCCTTTCACTGCAGCAGTGTTTATCAGTAGTTCAGATGAGTTATTTGCTCCTGGGGAGTAAAACCTTTTTTATTAAAAAAAAAGAAAAAGAAAAAGAAAAAAAATGAAACAAGAAAAACAGAAGTGTCCCCATTATGATTGCTGTAGGATTATGGGGCCATAGCGTCTAGTCTGCAAGTCCCCACCGTGAGTCCTGCTGTGACGAGCCTGTGCGGCAGGTGACAGGAGGCCTGGGAGAAGTGCAGAAGGCAGTGCCCGTTCTGGGAGAGAGGCTGGGGCTCTGGAGCCACAGTCAGGAGGCCTGGGAGGTGCGTTTCAAACACCAATGCCTCTGCCCTGGGAGAAGCTTGATGTACTTGCAGATCCCACGTCCTCTTCAACCTTGTTGCTTTTCGGCCTCCTGACAGGTGTCACCTGGGCTCTCCTGCATCCCTCCTCCCTATACCCTCTGTACCCCCTTCCCCACCGCATCTACCTCCCGAGCTAGCCCAGCATGTGGAATTCACCCTGCTTCTCTGTCACCTCAGTGGGTTTCAGGGGCACCCGGAGCTGCCGCCCCTCAGCCAAGATGCACCTGGCAGGCATTCAGGAAGACCCAAACCGAACGTTTGGTTGCAGCTGGACTGCGATTGGGTTGCTCCTGGCGGCGTGTGAGGATATGGGGTGCTGTCGCCTTGAGCCACTAGCTTGGGGTTGGGGGGCAGGCCAGGCGGAGGTCTCGTCTGTCACTGGTGCTCCCTTGAGGGACAGGCAGGACCAGGACCCCGATGTTGCTGTGCATTCTGGTTCATAAGGACTTCAAGGAAGAGGGGTGTCATCCTTGGACCCAGGGGTCACCGACAATTCACCAGAAAGGGGGCCACATGTGCCATCACCATGACCTCCTCAGCCGCCTTGTCCAAGCCAATGTGTGGCCTGGCTTTTGTCTTCTCATCCCCTCCCTTTTTTGTGCTTAATTTATTAAAATAGTGCTGTATAATTTATTTTCATAAACTATTAAAAATGACTAAATTGTTAAAATAGACTTGCAGGCCAATCTTAAATGGGGTAGGAGGTGCCGAGGGCGGGAGGGAGAGATGTTTTGATATGAACAGGACAGATGCACTTTGGGGGTGTGTGGGTATTTCCTGGGGCCGCGGGGTGTCGGGCGGGGTCCCTGTGGGCTGCTTCAGAGCGGGTCGTCTGTACATACTGTATCCATAGGCATGTTCCACTCTCTAAGGCCGTTAGTGACTGCTGCAGGTCCTGTTTGGAAGCCCCGTGTACAGTTCCTGGTTTTGTAAGTGTCGGTGCAGGAGCATCTGACTCTTGTGTTTGTATCTCCTTTTTATGGTTGCTGTACCGACCCATGTCTTGGGGGGGGGGGTGAAAAGAGATTTGAAATAAAAATGTTTAGAAATTCTTCCGACTTGTTTGGGTTTGTGCTTTTGCATCCCTCTCCTGTCCTAGGCCTGGGCTGCCACCCAGTGCTGAGCTCCCCAAAAGAGTGTGGCCTGGGGGCTCGGACCAGATGCCTTCGTGCGGGTCAGTGGGGGCCTGAGCTCTGCAGGACGCACTCATAGGTCTCCGTGGGGTCACCAAGTGTTGGGGTTCACCTGCAGCCCCTGCCGCCTCCAGGCCCCGGTGGCTGGGCCTCTGGAGCCTGGGCGAGGGTCCCCTGCCACACGCCCTGATGAAGCCAACTTGGCAGGCAGGGACACCTGGCATCTGGCAGAGTGACCCTTGTGCACTGATGCCCCAAGGAGTCAGAACAGAGACCACCAGGAGTGCGCCCGGCTTGGGAGGCGCTGGCTGTCACCCACACCCATTCCCAAGGGATGTGCTTTCCCTTTTTTCTTTTTGTTTTTTGTTTTTGAGACAGGGCCTCACTGTACAGGACAGGCTGGTCTTGAACTCACTATGTAGCCCAGGCTGGCCTTCAACTTTTGGCAACTCTCCTGCCTCAGCCTCCCCAGTTCTGTGATGACAGGCATGTGTCACCATGCTGGGCTGGCCTGGAACTCTGGGAGAGCCTCCTGGCTCAGCCTGCCAAGTGCTGGGACGACAGGTGTGCGGCACCACACCTCACTGGGCCTTCTCTGTCTCCTCCAGACGCCAGCAGATTCCAGCCGCTGCCACACCTGTTTCCCCTCCACAGTTCCAAGTCCTAAGGGGAAGATGTGGCCCTGTCACTCCCTTAGGAGAAGCTTGGCTCAGCCTCCTTCCGAGGCATCCCCTCACCCAGACAAGCCCAAGCCCACCGTACTGTTTGACCGACCAGTTTTGAGGTGTCTCATCCTCATCCTCGCCACAGGCTTCCCTGGGGCTCCTCCCTCTGCCTGCAGGTCTGTCCCCTGCCATCTGTCTGCCTGCTCCTTGTAGCTCCTGTCCTCCAGGGCCCCCCTCCAGGTGCTATCTCGGGAATTCTCACTGTTTACTTCCAGCCACACAAATGCCTCTCGCCTCTGAGAAGCCACCCCTTCCTGTGTCTCCCTGCCCGGCCTCTGTGACCTCTGAGAACAGCACCTGTGTCCTGCTCATCTCCGTCCTCCCTGAAGGCCGGTGCAGCTGAAGAGATCTGGATGCCAAGTCAGTGCCCTCCCCAGAAATGCTGCCTCCTGCACGTGGCCCTTGCTTGGGTTCTTCCCCTTCTGGGAATTGGAGGGTGATCTGTCCATTTTTGTGATGCTGGGATTCAACCGAGGCCTTTTCCCACTGAGCTACATCCCCGGTTGACTGTACCTCTTATCTCTTTTTAACTTTATTTATTTATTTATTTATTTATTTATTTATTTTTATTTTTGAGAAAGGGTCTCACTGGGTGGTCCAGGCTGACTTTGGAGTCACCATGTAGCTCAGGCCAGCCTCAAACTCGAAGTGATCCTCCTGCGTCAGCCTTAGCCCACAGTACTGGGCTAAATTTTGACACAGGGTCTGACTAAATCACTAAGTTGCCCAGGCTGGACTTGGACTCCCAATCCTGCCTTAGCCTCCCTGAGTGCTTGGATTACAGATGTACAGCCCCCCCCCCCCAACGGCCCTCATGTGTGAGCAAGTGTGTAAAATGCCCTGTGGGTCACCAGCACTCACCAAGTAGCTGCAAGTGCTAATCACCCCCAGTTTCACTGCTCCTAGGCCTCGAAGAGCGCTTCCTTCCCTCCCAGAGGAGCCCCTGGAGCCTGCAGGGGCTGCAGGGAGCAGGCTCTGCAAATGCGATGGCTCTGGGGCTGACGCTGGAGGCACAGAGCTAAGCGCATTCTCAGCGCGCTCCTGCCACCTAGTGGCTCCCGTGGGCCAGGCCACGCCACCGATAGGGTCCCAGAGCGACCGGCCAGGCTGGGCTTCAATAAATAATGAACAGCATTGCCAGTGCCCCGACCACCGCACCCTGCCCTGCCCTCGGAACCCCAACGAACCCCGCCTGGTCAGGTGTATGGGCGACACCCCTTCCCCGGTGGCGGGTGAGCAGGAAGCCTTCGTTCCCCTCCCCAGGGCTGGGGGCTGCCACCCTCCTGCCCCCCAGCCCCTCTGGCTTGGTGACAGCTCAGAGGCTCTAGGCTTGACCTGGGGCTCTGCTCGCTCTTATAGATGCAGAGTCTGCTGAGCGGGGCTGCCCCCCCCCCCCCCCCCCCCCCCGCTTCTCAGGAGGTTTTGCCCTTTGGGATCTGGGAAGGAGAGGCCTGGGCTGAAGGAGGGGGAAGGGCAGGGATTCATCGCGTCTGGGTCTCTCACCCCCTGGGGACCCCTACCAGGAATCATACCACACACTGGCCTTGGATGTGGCTGTGACTACAGCCTAGGGTCTGACCTGGGACCTGGGGTACAAGAGCCCCGTGCTGGGCTCCCCGGGTACCTGCGTCCACTCTGCTGCCAGCCTGTCCCCACTGGCAGCTCCACCTCCCCTCCCTCGAGCAGCAGCCCTGCCTCCCCCCTTGGGCCATGATTGCATCATGGTTGGCTTTGTTCTCATAGCAGCAGGTGCAGGAGCGGGGCCACTGGCCTCCGCCCCTTCCCTCCTCTGCTCCCCCCTGAGGGTGCCTCCTCCTGCCTTGATCCCCAGCCCAGTACCCCAGCTCCCCAAGCAGTGGCACAATGGCTGCAAGGTGGGCATGAAAACCAGGCTGGAGACTGCCCTTCGGCTTCTATACCCTCCAAGAAAGACCTGGTTGTGGCCAGGCTGTGCCCCTAGAAGTGGGTCAGGAATTGGCACCAGCCAAACTAATACCAATCATCATCATCCAGGATAAACCAAGAGCAGTAATCGTGGCTACCTGGGAGGCTGAGGCAGAAGCGTCGCAAATTCCAGCTCAGTTTTTAGCAGGCCCTGTCTCAAAATAAAAATAAACTAAAAATGAAGAGGGCTGAAGATGTAGTTCAGAGCTTCCTGGGTTCAGTCCCCAGCATGACAACAGGGAGGGGTGAACTAATTCAGTCCTTGGGAAGTTCCTTGAGTTTTAGTGATGATATTTGCACCCACTGGTGGACTCTGGATTTTCGCCACATCTCATATAATCGGCATTTTCCCTGGAGGGTCCTCTTGTCATTTCTGGTTGACAGACAGGAAGCCAGACCCTCAAAGGGGCGGGAACACTTGCTAAACCTCCAGGATGCTTTGGCCTGGAATCTTGGCCTGTGCTCCCTGATGGGGCTTGGTGTTTTCTGGTATTAGGATTCAAACCCAGGGCAAGGCCACTGCTGTAAATTCTGGCCTGTGCAGGGATGGATGAGTGGGAGCTCATTGGGGGTTCCAGCCTTGCCAGGGAAGACCAGGGCACAGATGAGATGGCTCATGGCCCCACCCTTTGTCTTACAGGAGCTCTGCTTGTAAAGCTGTAGGTGATTCCCAGTGTTGGGCGCTGGCGATTCGGCCACCATGACTTTGGCTCATAGGAGCTGCACCCTTTCTGGGGTCTGATAGAACCAGAGAGCAGCTGGGGGAGAAAGGACAGAGCTTGGCTACACAGCCAGGGCCCAGCGCCACCAAGGCCTGGCAGCGGCCTGGGTAGGACTTTAGGCAGCGGGGGCACATGTCTGCTGCCCAGCAGCCTTCTGTCGGTCCAGTATGGACTTTGTCCCCAGGGACAAAGAGCGACATTGACCTCATGGCCTTGTGACCCCACCCAAGTTGGCTCTGCCTTGCCAGGCAACCCCAGGGCCCTTGGGTGGCAGACAGGGACACCAGACCACCTAGAGGGCATGGCAGGGAGCACAAGGGAGTGCATGCGTGGGCAGTGCTAGCCAAACTCCATGGGCATGGCCACGGATGGCTGTTTGGGGCTCCTGGCTGCAGTTCTAAAGCCAAGCCGTGGATAAATACTGGCAGGGCCACAGAATGGGAGAGTCCTGGAGTCCAATTCCAGTGCCCCGAGGGCTGCCAGGCAGAGCATTCCCGCCTCCGTGCCCCCAGCGTGCCCCCGCACACAGCTATAAAGCCCCTTTGTCCCGGGCTCTCCTCTCTGTTTCCTGCCCATTCTCCAGCGCCTTCTGCTGCCCAAGGAGGTGCCAGTTCTCCATGAGGAGGTGTGGGGCCACCTCCACTCCAGTGCGGACCCTAGGGGTCCCTTGCACATCCAGCCCCCCACTGCTGCCAGCTGGGCTCAGGGCAGGTGACACCCATGTCCCCTGGGATTCAGCCTGTGTCCCCACCTCTCACATGCCTGTCCATGTGACGCCCCTTGCACCATGATCCTGGCTTGTCATGTGCAGGACATAGGGCGGTGGGTGGAAGGCATCTCCGGGCCCTCACACGCCTGGCAGCCCCAAGACTCCTGGGCCCATTGCTGGGTGGGTTCAGGGGCTCCAGGGCCCTTTAGAAAGTCATCAGTGTGAGGCCTCCTGCCTGGCACATGCCCTGAGCAGGGTGACTGAGTGGGTGACAGGAATCTCTGCCCTTGTTCTTCACCCCAGCCAAGGCCCTCTGGATATATTCCCACGTAGGAAGGACTCTGGCCTCAAGGATCGGTCACCTGCCACCCCAGGGCAGCTCCTTGTTCTCACAGCCATTCTCAGCAGGGCCACTATGCCTCCTGGGTCCCCTGCTCTCATGCACCCTCTGAAGTGGCCCATCCACATAGGAGGCAACAGCCCCAGCCATGAGGTCAGCTCTGCCACCCAGTTGCTGGTGACCTTGGGCAAGCCCCTCTCTCGCGCCTGCAAAATGAGTGGCGGGGTCCTTGTGAGGGAGATCACCCCAAGGAGAGAGGACAGGGCTTTTTTGGGAAGACTTCCCCGCAGGGACAGGACAGCCAGGGGACGGAGTGGAGGGAAGGCAGGCGGGACATAGGGTGTGGGAGACCGGTGTGCACCCAGTGGTGACAGCTACAGTGAGTGCGATCCTCACCAGGGCTCGGGTGCTGCGTGCGAGCGCGGCCCCCACCCCGGGGTGCGGAGGGCGGGGCCGGCGGGCGGGGCGGCGCTCGGCGA